AATTTGTTGGAAACCCAAACTATTTTTAAAGAAGAGAATTGTATGGGTTTTACCTAGCTCTGGTCAGTTATCCATCTTCTGTAACAGGGGTCTGATATTTGATCTTGTCACTAAAATTTCAAGAGATGAAAATCAGCAGCCTTGAATTATATTTCCTTTTTTTTTTTTTTTTAATTATTTTTTTAGCAGTAACAAAAGTAATTTAACAAAAATAAAATCAGAAAGTAGTCTATTGACGTTGTGTACTCGGTAGTCCTGTCCCTGCCTGTAACAGATTTCACTGATGTATTTTTTAATACAGAAAACTATGTGAAAAGTAAACCTGCCCCTGATTCTGTCTGATCAAAGCCCATCTGTGTCTGTCTTTTCTGATCAAAGATGCTGCTTTCTCCATGTCCTGGCTTGGCACTCCCGGGGGGAAGATATTTTGGCTGTAATATGTACCCTTCAGTAACCTACCGTGGCAGCACTGGGAGGCTCAGTGGTGATCCTGTAGGTTAATTTCATGTTCTGTGAACACTAACCTGCCCCTTCCCATAGCTACATTAAAATAGTTGGATAGCAGGCACAGTATTTTGTATTGGAATGGTTCAGAGAATGTTTCAGAGAAAAAAAATCATTCTGGAGAGGATGGTGTATAGGGGTTAAAAAAAAACAACAAAAAGCCTGAGCTGTGTTAGTTGCACACAGGTGTGCCCAGAACCTCACTGTTAGTAGGACACAGGAAGGATCCAGGAATTACTGTATTTTCTGGGCATCCCACATACGAGTGCAGCAGTTTATGTCCTTATCAGGTTACCTTTGCCCTTTCCTTTCCTTCCCTGACATCTCTACCTGGGAAATGAGCAAGGGCAGCAGGCAGGACAGGCACGGGGAGGGCAGCTTTCAGTGGGGTGGAGCAGAGGCTGTCAGCAGAGTGATATCACAGCTGAGTTTCCCCTTAACAGACAGGAAGTATTCCCATAGAATAAAGTAGTGTATTTGTATATTACGAGTAATGTGTTCATTTTGCTTCTCTGAAGACCCTCACTTTCTGTTGTTTGTGAACACTTTCACATATGTCGATTTTTTTCCAGGTACATGGAACTGAAAGATTTTCGCCCCTCGCGTTCTCTCAGCAAGGAGAGTTAAATCCCTTTAAGCTTGACTGGCTGTAAGCAACGCTGTTAAACATGGTACTAACTCCTTTTATTTCATAGCTCTGAGATGAGAAGGGGTTCAATGCAGCATCTTTTGGTGATGTAATTTAACAGAACAAATAGTTTCAGTTTCCATTTCTGGAGCGAGACACCTCCTGAGCCATTCCTAGTCAGTCTGGCTAGAGTTCATGCTGACTTGCAAGGTCAACTCATTATCTCCAAGGATTGAAGTATATTTGTGGGTTATATACACAGTATTGAAGTTCTGACAAAGTTGTTTATAATAAAAAGTAGCTGAATCACTCGCTAGCCACGCAACGCTGTTTGTTACTTGAAACATTCTTTTAAGGAGAAAAATCTTGCGTTAGTCTCAGTGTGGACAGAGAAACGACAAAGATGAGAGCGAGACAGACAAGTAGAAGGTAATGCTTCCTGCTGACAGGGTTTCTTACCTATCTGTGTGCCTTTCCACTGCTAGAAACACGTTGTTTAGCCCTCTCTAATTCTCAGTGTGCAGAGATGACAGCACAGCTGTACAGGCTGTCTGGCTGGAGAGTTTGGAAGTGAGCGTGTCCTCGTTACCGAGGATACTCCTGTAGAGAATTGCCAGTTCTGGCCAGTAATGCAAGTCTTGGGGTTTTGCAGAGATTTTTATTTAAAATGCTTCCTGGAGTGCAGCTGCTGCCTATGCAGCGCTGGCATTTTCCTGGCCGCTTTCATCCTGCAAGGTGCGAGGTGCAGTGCGCACCTTCCTGGCTTCAGCTGACTACAGGAGGAACCTGGAGGCACTTTGAATGTCACAGTTAGGTGCAAAAAGAAGCTAAATTATCATAGGAATTATTCTGTCAACCTGATTAATGACTGATCTGAAAGAAAACCCTGGACTTCTCTGGCGGTAGTCTCCAGCCAAGTGCTATCCCCTCCGAGACTTGAAATGAAAGGGCAGCAAAGTCATTTGTTTCATGCTTCCTAAGGGTACGCTCACACAACGGCGCGGCACCACTGACGAAGTTTTAGTGCTGGGGTTACAGATGTTCTGCTGAATGTGCAGTAAAGTATTCGGGTTTTGGTAACAATCTCAATAACTCCTTTCAGTCCCTCGAGCACTAGTTTTGCTGCTGCCTTCGAAAAGAAAACAACAAATGCTATCGGATAAAGTCTTTGCCGTGCTCTTTTCAACCCCCAGTCACCACGCTCTCTGTGCGAATTGGAATTTCGAGTTTTGCTAATATCAGCAAACAGGTGTTCCCCCTGCTTTTCTTTGTCTTTCAGCAGCCATCCATTTGAAACAGTCCTAACAGACAGAGCAGAGGCAAAAGATTTGCTCTCTGGTATTAAGTTGCTGCTAACCTACACTATCTCCCAAGTAGAAGGGACAAGATTTGCAAGATTTGCCTTACAAGATTTGAAGAAATAACAAGTTTTTGCAATCAACTTAGATTTCCTGTTTCTGCAAGGATGTTTACCACCAGTCGCTGCAGAGGCTGCAGTGTTTTGTAGGGCAGTGAACTGTAATGCACAATTACAATGACTGAAATCTATTGAATATTTCTCTGTTTTTCTTTTTTCTTTTTTTTTTTTTCCCCCTTTCTTTTGCATAAGTTGTAAAGGCTTTAAGGAACCCAGACATCTTGGATTCTTCTAGTCCCAGTACTTAAATTTCCTTTGGACAATAACAGTCACTAAGCTAATGGTTTTTCAGCAAAGATTTGTTCTTTAATAAAGACACAAAAACTGGAGTATCTTAGATTATCACTTGCTTGGAGGGAAAAATGGAATTTATTACAAGAAACTGTCAAGACAAACAAAGCATCAAACACCAAATCTCAAAATGCCTCCCAAGTGCACGATTTTAATTAACAAAATTCCAGTCCCGCTTCCTCGTGTTCAGCCTTAATTGATGCAGGCTGCGATGCCCACAGTAAGTACAGCTTGGTAAACTTTGTGGCTTATATTCGATGCTTGGATACACCGATGAGCAGCATCCCTAGGGCCTTCGGTCTACAACTCTTTGACCTTTTTACTCTCTCTACGTTTGTAACACAAAACGAATGCTTGGAAAAGGTCTTTTAGGGCTGGAGCCAGGATTCTCCGTCTAGGAAAAGGGTCTTGACTTGATCCCCAGGTGAGCCACGGACTCGTCCTATAGCCCAGGACCTGGTGTAGGTGTAACTACTGTTGTATAGCTGAAGCCTCATGTTTGGTCCCTTGCCAATCCGTACCTCGGTTGTACCCATCTGTAAATTGGCCAGACTTTCCTACCTCGTTTGGGCATTATGAGGCTAAATTCTGTAGGATGCTTTGCAGCCCCGTGATGAAAGGTGCTATATAGCTGCAAAGTGTTACTTCAAAAGATTTAAATAGGTCACCAGTGCATCATAACCTATATTAAAAAGACTTTTTTCTTATATGAGAATTTATAGAGTTCAATGTATGGTATTAATAAGTGAATTACTGAGACCCCAAAAATAGTTTTTGTTTGAATCGTATCTGTATTCTGGAAAAGTGATTAAAAACCTTTAACCTTAATAAAAGAGTACATCCTCGTTTCCTGTATTATGTTGGAATCTAAGTTTAAAAGCAGAATCTTGCATGTTTTAAGGGGGGAGGGTTTAGTTGTTTCTAAGCCAGCATTGAAATAGCAGCTTAATATCTTCACAGCAAGGCTTGGTCTTTCCCGCATGGCTGCACAGCAGCTCACACTGAGTTTTGCTCCTTTTTGAAGCCTTTGGGATTGGCTGTAATTAGATCAACCACCCCATTTGTCACACGCACCCCTTCCCCGAAACCAAAAGGAGGGGCAGTGGTGGCGTGTCCTCCAACTTTGCAACCGCTCGCCGCTCAAATGTCAAGCTTTCCCCGCTTTTCAGTCGATTTCCATGCTATTGCTTATTCTTCTGCAACCTATCTTTTCTTTATCAATGCATTTTTATACAAGCAGAGAGAGAAATAAAGCAGCCACCCGCTCCTGCCCAGTGAGGAAACCAAGTGCCAGGACGTGCCGGCAGGGAGCTGGGCAGGGCTGGTGCTGCCCAGCGCATCCGCGGGCAGGAGGACTCCTCGGCACTGGGTATCCCATCTTCTCGGCTGTCCTAAAATCCCAGAACTGGCCCAAGAGCACACATTAACAGGGAAACAGCAAGCTGGAAAACCCTTGAACAGAGCTCGATGTGGCTTCCAGTAAGGGCAGTGAGAGATAAATCCAGAAATGCTGGATCCAGAAATGCTGGATTTCTGAATGTAGGTCCCTCACCAGTGCTCTGAGGCTCTGCCTGGGCTGTGCCGTGCTCCTTAAATAGTGGGGTTCTTGCCGCTGTTCCCAGGTCAGACAAGCAGAGCCCCTCTGGGCACAGCAGGTCAGTCACACAACCCTCTGATTCAGGCACGGGGAAACTGAAATTCTCCCTGGTGTGTCAGCACAGCAATGGCATTTTACAGCTCTTTGGAATTCACGAGTTGGAAGCCCTAAACCCCAACCTCCTCCTGCACAACCTCGTGAACCTGCGGCCATGCCTCGTGCTGGGTGGGGCAGGATCCACGCACCGCTCATCCCTGCGTTATTGCGGTCACCACCAGCTGAGCATGAAGGAAGAAACGTGAAGGTCCAAGGCAGCTGAGGCGCCACTGCATGGGAGCCCCTCTCCCACCCTGTAGAAGGTTTATTTGGCAAGGTTTTTGGGGTGAGGGGCAGAGGGGTGGCTTCTGTGAGAAGAATCCAGAAGCTGCCAAATGGTGGATAAAGGCCCCGCCGCTGGCTGGAGCTGGGCCAATAAGTGATGTTGTTTGCACCTCTGTGAGAGCAGATTTAAGAAAAACCACCACATCCCCTGACACAGACACACACAAGCCACCACGACACATCACCTGCAAAGCCATTTTTATTATTTTCCATGTGCTCAATGCTCAAGTACGTTGGCAGCTCCCTGCGCGGCTGCAGAGGAGCAGCTGGGCTGGCGGGGCTCTTCCTTGCACCGTCCGCTGCCTCCTGGCATTCCTTGGGTTTGCCACCTGGAGCTGTGCTCCCCTAAAAACAAATGGCACCAACTGCTCCACCGAGTGTCCCCAGGATTGATGTCAGCCCCACTTGGGCACCAGCAGAGAGTCCTGCGGCTCCTACAAGGACAGAAAGAGGCATGATGCCTGGGCCCATGGCTGCTCACTGCTGAGGGACAGAGCACGGGACAGAGAGAACCGAGGACTTCTCCTGACCGATGCCAGTTCACCACAATGCAGGGGCTCTGCTCCCTCAGCACGGCCGAGCCCTTCCAGCTCTCCCTTCTGGTAATGACCAGAGCTCCCAAGGGACACAAGCGCTCCTGGCAGAAGAGCAAACAAATGTCTGCACAGGCCCACAGGTCTTGGGCATGGGGTCCCATATCCCAGCAAGCCCTGACTCTTCCTAGCACACCAAGGATTTATCCCCTCCCCGTGGATTTGGGTGCATAAAGCCAAGGATGCACTGAAGGGCACAGGCTCTGCAGCAAGCTGAGCTCACAACCCTGTTGCTCCTGCATGTGCAACCCTCCGGCCACAGTCCCAGTGCAGCTCAGCACCCCACTACTCACCGAGCCACGGCAGCACGGCCACGATGCTGCCGGCAGCCACTCCTCCGCTGGTGGCTATGGCAGCCGCCGACATCATCTTGGCAGCCGCGGACCCCGCAGTGACGCCGCCCGCCTTAAACCCCAATGCAGAGACGATTGCCGGGGCACCAAGGAGCGCCAGTCCTGCAGCAGGGACACCGACACATCTGCTACCCGCATGCCAGGTCCCATCCCAAGGGGACGGGGTGTCAGAGCAAAGAGTGGGGACTGTGGGGCACAGGGTCAGGGACGCACCATCCCCAGGGAGAAGGGGAAAGGCGTGCAGGGCTTCAGCAGTGGCTGGTGACGGGTTCCCCAGCACACCAGAGCCCGGCTGAAGCCTCGCTGGGTGCCCAGCCCAGGCACGGGGCAGCCCTTGCCCATGAGCTCTGATCACCCACCCCATGACACGGGTGCACCGCGGCCAAGCCAAGGACCAGAAACTTACCTACTCCAGCAGTGCCCAAAAAAATCATATTTCTGATTTTAATTTTCATCGCTAGGAAGAAAGTTGAGAAAAAATCACTCAGCGAGGGCAGAGCTCACCCCCAGGCAGAGAAGATGCTGCAGGACCAATGGCTGCCCCGTTCCACCATCTCCTGCAGGCTTCCCTCCACCCCTAGGACCTACTGTACCTGCTGCTGTGCTTGCAGGACTGCTGCTGTGCTGGCAGTGCCCGTCTGCCCTCTGCACGCCGATAACACGGATAAAAGATGGAGCAGGGAGCGCCCCATCTCACCCAGCACCGCCCCGGGGCCGCCCCATACTCGTCAAATCTCAGCCCAGGAGGAGGAGGCCAGTTTGTTTTCCTCTCGGTTAATGTCCACTGGAACTCCCATGGTTTGGGTTTGTGTAGGAAGAAACACATGGGCGATGCATGAACCTTCCTGATTCTCGGCCTCACCCCCCGAGGGCAGTCAGCAAGCGGCTGTGCGGGGCTCAGGTTAAACCACACCAGGATCCAATGCCTTTATCCGGAGGCTCAGATACAGGGGGGTCACAGGACAGACCCAGGGGCCTGTGGGGGGATCCAGGGCAGTGGACGCAGGCATCAGCGGGTTCCTGGTGGGGATCCACTGGGTCACAGCAGGGACCCGATGACAGCCCCAGCAGCTGACACACAACCCTCAGAGCCGTGGGGGTTCCTGATCCCCCTGAGGAAGAGGAGAAGTCAGCCCCAGCCCAGACCGTCCATGTGCCCTCCCTGGCCAGAGCTGGGCCAAGAAGTGGTGTTGCTTGCACCTCTGTGAGAGCAGATTTAAGAAAAGAAAAAAAAACAAAACCAAAAACATTGATGGGGAACAGCAGCTGGGGGAGAGAGAGGGGTGAGGGCCAGCCCTGCAGCCCCCAAGGGCAGTGCTGGAGGGCAGGAGGTGCTCCAGGCAGGCAGCAGCAGTTCCCCTTCGGCCTAGGGAGAGGCCCCTGGTGGAGCAGGCTGTCCCCCTGCACCCATGGGTGCCCCATGGAGCAGATCTCCACGCTGCAGCCCCCCCATGGCTGGAGGAGCCCCCGGTGGAGCAGGTGGATGTGGCCTGGAGGAGGCTGCGGCCCATGGAGACCCCCCGCAGGAGCAGGCCCCGGGCCAGAGCTGCAGCCATGGAGAGGAACCCATGCAGAGGGCCTGGGGGGATGTGCTGCCTGTGGGGAACCCGTGCTGGAGCCGTTTGTTCCTGGGGGATGGACCCTGTGGGACGGAGCCGTGTGGGAGCAGTTCTGGAGGAGCTGCTGCCTGTGGGCAGGCCCCGCAGGCTCAGTTCGGGAAGGACGGCATCCCGTGGGACAGACCCCACAGCACAGGGCCAGGGAGTGGCCGTGAGGGAGCAGCAGGGGAAACATGCCAAATATTGACCGCAGCCCCCATTCCTCTGTGCCGATCAGGGGGAGGAGGTGGTAAGAGGCTGGATGGGGGAAATATGTTTTAATATGTTTTGTTTCTCGCTTCTCTGCCTTGTTAGTAATAGGACAATAAATTTCTCTAATTTCCCTAGGCTAAGTCTGTTTTGCCTGTCACGGTAAGTGTTGAGTGGTTTCCCTGTCACTATCTCAACCTTTGAACCCTTTCTGCCATAGTTTCTCTCCCCTTTCCCTTTGAGGAGGGGGAGTGGCCATGGCGGAGCTCAGCTGCCTACCCGTGTAAAACCAGCACACCCCCTGACACAGACACACACGAGCCACCACGACACATCACCTGCAAAGCCATTTTTATTATTTTCCATGTGCTCAATGCTCAAGCACGTCGGCAGCTCCCTGCGCGGCTGCAGAGGAGCAGCTGGGCTGGCGGGGCTCTTCCTTGCACCGTCCGCTGCCTCCTGGCATTCCTTGGGTTTGCCACCTGGAGCTGTGCTCCCCTATAAACAACTGGCACCAACGGCTGCACCGAGCAATGTCAAGATTGATGTCAGCCCAATTTTGGCACCAACAGGGAGTCCTGCAGCTCCTGCAAGGACAGAAAGAGGCATTATGCCTGGGCCCATGGCTGCTCACTGCTGAGGGACAGAGCACGGGACAGAGAGAACCGAGGACTTCTCCTGACCGATGCCAGTTCACCACCATGCAGGGGCTCTGCTCCCTCAGCACCGCCGAGCCCTTCCAGCTCTCCCTTCTGGTAATGACCAGATCGGTCAACGGGCAAAAGCGCTCCTGGCAGAAAAGCAAACAAATGTCTGTACAGGCCCACAGGTCTTCAGGACGGGGTCCCATATCCCAGTAAGCCCTGAGTCTTCCTACTACACCAAGGATTTATCCCCTCCCCATGGGTTTGGGTGAATAAAACCAAGGATGCACTGAAGGGCACAGGCTCTGCAGCAAGCCGAGCTCACAACCCTGTTGCTCCTGCATGTGCAACCCTCCGGCCACAGTCCCAGCACAGCTCAGCACCCCACCACTCACCGAGCCACTGTAGCACGGCCACGGTGCTGCCGGCAGCCACTCCTCCGTTGTTGGCTATGGCAGCCACCGACATCATCTTGGCAGCCGCAGACCCTGCAGCGATGCTGCCCGCCTTAAACCCCAACGCAGACACGACTGCCGGGGCACCAAAGAGTGCCATTCCTGCAGGAGGAACACCGACACATCCGCTACCCGCATGCCTGGTCCCACCCCAAGGGGACAGGGTATCAGAGCAAAGAGCGGGAGCTGTGGGGCACAGGGTCGGGGACGCGCCATCCCCAGGGAGAAGGGGAAAGGCGTGCAGGGTTTCAGCAGTGGCTGGTGACGGGTTCCCCAGCACACCAGAGCCCGGCTGAAGCCTCACTGGGTGCCCAGCCCAGGCACGGGGCAGCCCTCGCCTGTGAGCTCTGCTCACCCACCCCATGACACGGGTGCTCCGTGACCAAGCCGGGGACCAGAAACTTACCTACTCCAGCGGTGGCCCCAAAAATCAGTCCTGCAATTACCATGGCTAAGAAGGAAGAAAGAAAAGAAAAAGTCACTCAGAGTGGGCAGAGCTCACCCCCAGGCAGAGAAGATGCTGCAGGACCGATGGCTGCCCCCTTCTACCACCTCCTGCAGGTTTCCCTCCACCCCTAGGACCCACTGTACTTGCTGCTGTGCTTGCAGGACTGCTGCTGTGCTGGCAGTGCCCGTCTGCCCTCTGCACACCGATAACACGGATAAAAGATGGAGCAGGGAGCGCCCCATCTCACCCAGCACCGCCCCGGGGCCGCCCCACACTCGTCAAATCTCAGCCCAGGAGGAGGAGGCCAGTTTGTTTTCCTCTCGGTTAATGTTCACTGGAACTCCCATGGTTTGTGTAGGAAGAAACACATGGGTGATGCATGAACCTTTCTGATTCTCTGCCTCACCCCCCACGGGCAGTCAGCAAGCGACTGTGCGGGGCTCAGGTTAAAGCACACCAGGATCCAATGCCTTTATCCGGAGGCTCAGATACAGGGGGGTCACAGGAGAGACCCAGGGGTCTGCGGGGGGATCCAGGGCAGTGGACACAGGCACCAGCGGGGTCCTGGTGGGGATCCACTGGGTCACAGCAGGGACCCGATGACAGCCCCAGCAGCTGACACACAACCCTCAGAGCCGTGGGGGTTCCTGATCCCCCTGTGGAAGAGGAGAAGTCAGCCCCAGCCCAAACCCCTTGTGTGCCCTCCCTGGCCAGAGCTGGGCCAAGAAGTGGTGTTTTTGCACCTCTGTGAGAGCAGATTTAAGAAAGGAAAAAAAAAAAAAAAAAACTGCTGCAGAACAGCAGCTGGGGAGAGAGAGGGGTGAGGGCCAGCCCTGCAGCCCCCAAGGGCAGTGCAGGAGGGCAGGAGGTGCTGCAGGCTCACAGCAGCAGTTCCCCTGTGGCCTAGGGAGAGGCCCCTGGTGGAGCAGGCTGTCCCCCTGCACCCATGGGTCCCCCATGGAGCAGATCTCCACGCTGCAGCCCCCCCATGGCTGGAGGAGCCCCGGGTGGAGCAGGGGGATGTGGCCTGGAGGAGGCTGCGGCCCATGGAGAGCCCCCGCAGGAGCAGGCCCCGGGCCGGAGCTGCAGCCATGGAGAGGAGCCCATGCAGAGGGCCTGGGGGGATGTGCTGCCTGTGGGGGACCCATGCTGGAGCCGTTTGCTCCTGGGGGATGGACCCCATGGGACAGAGCCGTGTGGGAGCAGTTCTGGAGGAGCTGCTGCCTGTGGGCAGGCCCCACAGGGTCAGTTCGGGAAGGACGGCATCCCGTGGGACAGACCCCACAGCACAGGACCAGGGAGTGACCGTGAGGGAGCAGGAGGGGAGACATGCCAAATATTGACCGCAGCCCCCATTTCCCTGTGCCGCTCAGGGTAAGGAGGTGGAAGAGGGTGGATGGGGGAAATATGTTTTAATATGTTTTGTTTCTTGCTTCTCTGCATAGTTAGTAATAGGCAATAAATTTCTCTAATTTCCCTAGGCTAAGTCTGTTTTGCCTGTCACGGTAAGTGTTGAGTGCTTTCCCTGTCACTATCTCAACCTTTGAACCCTTTCTGCCATAGTTTCTCTCCCCTTTCCCTTTGAGGAGGGGGAGTGGCCATGGTAAAGCTCAGCTGCCCACCTGTAAAACCACCACATCCCCTGACACAGACGCACACGAGCCACCACGACACATCACGTGCAAAGCCATTTTTATTATTTTCCATATGCTCAGTGCTCAACCAGGTCAGCAGCTCCCTGCGCGGCTGCTGAGGAGCTGCTGGGCTGGCGGGGCTCTTCCTTGCGCTGTCCGCTGCCTCCTGGAATTCCTTGGGTTTGCCACCTGGAGATGTGCTCCCCTAAAACCACTTGGCACCAATTATTCCACCGAGTGTCCCCAGGATTGATGACAGCCAAAATTTGGCACCAACAGGGAGTCCTGCGGCTCCTGCAAGGACAGAAAGAGGCATGATGCTTGGGCTCGTAGGTGTTCACTGCTGAGGGACAGAGAACGGGACAGAGAGAACCGAGGACTTCTCCTGACCCATGCCAGTTTACCACCATGCAGGGGCTCTGCTCCCTCAGCATGGCCAAGTCCTTCCAGCTCTCCCTTCTGGTAATGACCAGAGATCCCAAGGGACACAAGCACTCCCGGCAGAAGTGCAGACAAATATCTGCTCAGGCCCAAGTCTTCAGCATGGGGTCCCATATCCCAGCAAGCCCTGAGTCTTCCTAGCACATCGAGGATTTATCCCCTCCCCATGGGTTTGGGTGAATAAAGCCAAGGATGCACTGAAGGGCACAGACTCTGCAGAAAGCCGAGCTCACAACCCTCTTGCTTCTGCATTTGCAACCCTCCAGGCACGGTCCCAGTGCAGCTCAGCACCCCACCACTCACCAATCGACTGCAGCACGGCCACGGTGCTGCCGGCAGCCACTCCTCCGTTGTTGGCTTTGGCAGCCGCCGACATCATCGTGGCAGCCACGGACCCCGCAGCGATGCCGCCCGCCTTAAACCCCAGTGCAGAGACGGCTGCTGGGATGCCGAAGAGCACCATTCCTGCAGGAGGGACACCGACACATCTGCTACCCGCATGCCAGGTCCCATCCCAAGAGGACGGGGTGTCAGAGCAAAGAGCGGGGGCTGTGGGGCACAGGGTCGGGGACGCACCATCCCCAGGGAGAAGGGGAAAGGCGTGCAGGGTTTCAGCAGTGGCTGGTGACGGGTTCCCCAGCACACCAGAGCCCGGCTGAAGCCTCGCTGGGTGCCCAGCCCAGGCACGGGGCAGCCCTCTCCCCCGACCTCTGCTCACCCACCCCATGACACAGGTGCGCCGTGGCCAAGCCGGGGACCAGAAACTTACCTACTCCAGCGGTGCCCAAAAAAATCATATTTCTGATTTTAATTTTCATCGCTAGGACGAAAGTTGAGAAAAAGTCACTCAGAGTGGGCAGAGCTCACCCCCAGGCAGAGAAGATGCTGCAGGACCAATGGCTGCCCCCTTCCACCACCTCCTGCAGGCTTCCCTCCACCCCTAGGACCCACTGTACTTGCTGCTGTGCTTGCAGGACTGCTGCTGTGCTGGCAGTGCCCGTCTGCCCTCTGCACGCCGATAACACGGATAAAAGATGGAGCAGGGAGCGCCCCATCTCACCCAGCACCGCCCCGGGGCCGCCCCACACTCATCAAATCTCAGCCCAGGAGGAGGAGGCCGGTTTGTTTTCCTCTCGGTTAATGTCCACTGGAACTCACATGGCTTGGGTTTGTGTAGGAAGAAACACATGGGCGATGCATGAACCTTCCTGATTCTCTGCCTCACCCCCCGAGGGCAGTCAGCAAGCGACTGTGCGGGGCTCAGGTTAAACCACACCAGGATCCAACGCCTTTATCCGGAGGCTCAGATACAGGGGGGTCACAGGAGAGACCCAGGGGCCTGTGGGGGGATCCAGGGCAGTGGACGCAGGCATCAGCGGGTTCCTGGTGGGGATCCACGGGGTCACAGCAGGGACCCGATGACAGCCCCGGCAGCTGACACACAACCCTCAGAGCCGTGGGGGTTCCTGATCCCCCTGAGGAAGAGGAGAAGTCAGCCCCAGCCCAAACCCCTCGTGTGCCTTCCCTGGCCAGAGCTGGGCCAAGAAGTGGTGTTTTTTGCACCTCTGTGAGAGCAGATTTAAGAAAGGAAAAAAAAAAACAAAAAACTGCTGCAGAACAGCAGCTGGGAGAGAGAGGGGTGAGGGCCAGCCCTGCAGCCCCCAAGGGCAGTGCAGGAGGGCAGGAGGTGCTGCAGGCAGGCAGCAGCAGTTCCCCTGCGGCCTGTGCAGGGAGAGGCCCCTGGTGGAGCAGGCTGTCCCCCTGCACCCATGGGTCCCCCATGGAGCAGATCTCCACGCTGCAGCCCCCCCATGGCTGGAGGAGCCCCGGGTGGAGCAGGGGGATGTGGCCTGGAGGAGGCTGCGGCCCATGGAGAGCCCCCGCAGGAGCAGGCCCCGGGCCGGAGCTGCAGCCATGGAGAGGAGCCCACGCAGGAGCAGGGGGCTGGGGGGAGTTGCTGCCCACCCGTGGGGGACCCGTGCTGGAGCCGTTTGGTCCTGGGGGATGGACCCTGTGGGACGGAGCCGTGTGGGAGCAGTTCTGGAGGAGCTGCTGCCTGTGGGCAGGCCCCGCAGGCTCAGTTCGGGCAGGACGGCATCCCGTGGGACAGACCCCACAGCACAGGGCCAGGGAGTGGCCGTGAGGGAGCAGCAGGGGAAACATGCCAAATATTGACCGCAGCCCCCATTCCCCTGTGCCACTCAGGGGGAGGAGGTGGAAAATTGTGGATAAGGGAAATGTGTTTTAATATGTTTTGTTTCTCGCTTCTCTGCCTTGTTAGTAATGGACAATAAATTTCTCTAATTTCCCTAGGCTAAGTCTGTTTTGCCTGTCACGGGAAGTGTTGAGTGGTTTCCCTGTCACTATCTCAACCTTTGAACCCTTTCTGCCATAGTTTCTCTCCCCTTTCGCTTTGAGGAGGGGGAGTGGCCATGGCGGAGCTCAGCTGCCTACCCGTGTAAAACCAGCACACCCCCTGACACAGACACACACGAGCCACCACGACACATCACCTGCAAAGCCATTTTTATTATTTTCAATGTGCTCAGTGCTCAAGCAGGTCGGCAGCTCCCTGTGTGGCTGCTGAGGAGCTGCTGGGCTGGCAGGGCTCTTCCTTGCGCCGTCCGCTGCCTCCTGGCATTCCTTGGGTTTGCCACCTGGAGCTGTGCTCCCTTAGGGTTTCCTGGCTCCAACTATTCCACCGAGTGTCCCCAGGGCTGATGACAGCCCAATTTTGGCACCAGCAGAGAGTCCTGCAGCTCCTGCAAGGATAGAAAGAGGCATGATGCCTGGGCCCTTGGGTGTTCACTGCTGAGCACGGGACAGAGAGAACCGAGGACTTCTCCTGACCCATGCCAGTTCACCACCATGCAGGGGCTCTGCTCCCTCAGCACCGCCGAGCCCTTCCAGCTCTCCCTTCTGGTAATGACCAGAGCTCCCAAGGGACACAAGCACTCCCGGCAGAAGAGGAAACAAATATCTGCACAGGCCCACAGGTCTTGAGCATGGGGTCCCATATCCCAGCAAGCCCTGAGTCTTCCTAGCACACCAAGGATTTATCCCCTCCCCATGGGTTTGGGTGCATAAAGCCAAGGATGCACTGAAGGGCCCAGGCTCTGCAGCAAGCCGAGCTCACAACCCTGTTGCTCCTGCATGTGTGATGCAGCTCAGCACCCCACCACTCACCGACCGACTGCAGCACGGCCACAGTGCTGCCTGCAGCCACTCCTCCGTTGTTGGCTATGGCAGCCGCCGACATCATCTTGGCAGCTATGGACCCCGCAGCGATGCCGCCCGCCTTAAACCCCAGCACAGAGACGACTGCTGGGACACCAAAGAGTGCCACTCCTGCAGCAGAGACACCGACACATCTGCTACCCACATGCCAGGTCCCATCCCAAGGGGACGGGGTGTCAGAGCAAAGAGCAGGGGCTGCGGGGCACAGGGTCGGGGACGTGCCATCCCCAGGGAGAAGGGGAAAGGCGTGCAGGGCTTCAGCAGTGGCTGGTGACGGGTTCCCCAGCACACCAGAGCCCGGCTGAAGCCTCGCTGGGTGCCCAGCCCAGGCACGGGGCAGCCCTTGCCCGTGAGCTCTGCTCACACACCCCATGACACGGGTGCTCCGTGACCAAGCCGGGGACCAGAAACTTACCTACTCCAGCGGTGGCCCCAATAACCACTTTTTTGATTTCAATTGGCATCGCTAGGACAAAAGGTGAGAAAATGTCACTCAGAGTGGGCAGAGCTCACCCCCAGGCAGAGAAGATGCTGCAGGACCAATGGCTGCCCCGTTCCACCATCTCCTGCAGGCTTCCCTCCACCCCTAGGACCCACTGTACCTGCTGCTGTGCTTGCAGGACTGCTGCTGTGCTGGCAGTGCCCGTCTGCCCTCTGCACGCCGATAACACGGATAAAAGATGGAGCAGGGAGCGCCCCATCTCACCCAGCACCGCCCCGGGGCCGCCCCACACTTGTCAAATCTCAGCCCAGGAGGAGGAGGCTGGTTTGTTTTCCTCTCTGTTAATGTCCACTGGAACTCCCATGGTTTGGGTTTTTGTAGGAAGAAATGCATGTACCTTCCTGATTCTCTGCCTCACCCCCCGAAGGGCAGTCAGCAAGCGTCTGTGCGGGGCTCAGGTTAAATCACTCCAGGATCCAACGCCTTTTAAGATTTTAAGAGCAGATTTAAGAAAGGAAAAAAAAAAAACAAAAACAAATACAAAACCAAAAACATTGATGGGGAACAGCAGCTGGGAGAGAGAGGGGTGAGGGCCAGCCCTGCAGCCCCCAAGGGCAGTGCTGGAGGGCAGGAGGTGCTGCAGGCAGGCAGCAGCAGTTCCCCTTCGGCCTGTGCAGGGAGAGGCCCCTGGTGGAGCAGGCTGTCCCCCTGCACCCATGGGTCCCCCATGGAGCAGATCTCCACACTGCAGCCCCCCCATGTCTGGAGGAGCCCCCCGTGGAGCAGAGGGATGTGGCCTGGAGGAGGCTGCGGCCCATGGAGAGCCCCCGCAGGAGCAAGCCCCAAGCCGGAGCTTCAGCCATGCAGCCCACACAGGAGCAGGGGGCTGGGGGGAGCTGCCTCCCATGGGGGACCTGTGCTGGAGCCGTTTGCTCCTGGGGAATGGACCCCATGGGACAGAGCTGTGTGGGAGCAGTTCTGGAGGAGCTGCTGCCTGTGGGCAGGCCCCGCAGGCTCAGTTCGGGCAGGACGGCATCCCGTGGGACAGACCCCACAGCACAGGGCCAGGGAGTGGCCGTGAGGGAGCAGCAGGGGAGACATGCCAAATATTGACCGCAGCCCCCATTTCCCTGTGCTGCTCAGGGGGAGGAGGTGGAAGAGGGTGGATGGGGGAAATATGTTTTAATATGTTTTGTTTCTCGCTTCTTTGCCTAGTTAGTAATAGGCAATAAATTTCTCTAATTTCCCTAGGCTAAGTCTGTTTTGCCTGTCACGGTAAGTGTTGAGTGGTTTCCCTGTCACTATCTCAACCTTTGAACCCTTTCTGCCATAGTTTCTCTCCCCTTTCGCTTTGAGGAGGGGAAGTGGCCATGGCAGAGCTCAGCTGCCTACCCGTGTAAAACCAGCACACCCCCTGACACAGACACACACGAGCCACCACGACACATCACCTGCAAAGCCATTTTTATTATTTTCCATATGTTCAATGCTCAAGCGGGTCGGCAGGAGCTGTGCTCCCCTAAAACCACTTGGCACCAATTATTCCACCGAGTGTCCCCAGGGCTGATGACAGCTAAAATTTGGCACCAACAGGGAGTCCTGCAGCTCCTGCAAGGACAGAAAGAGGCATGATGCTTGGGCCCTTGGGTGTTCACTGCTGAGCACGGGACAGAGAGAACCGAGGACTTCTCCTGAGCCATGCCAGTTCACCACCATGCAGGGGCTCTGCTCCCTCAGCACCGCCGAGCCCTTCCAGCTCTCCCTTCTGGTAATGACCAGAGCTCCCAAGGGACACAAGCACTCCCGGCAGAAGAGCAGACAAATATCTGCACAGGCCCACAGGTCTTGAGCATGGGGTCCCATATCCCAGCAAGCCCTGACTCTTCCTAGCACATCGAGGATTTATCCCCTCCCCATGGGTTTGGGTGAATAAAGCCAAGGATGCACTGAAGGGCCCAGGCTCTGCAGCAAGCCGAGCTCACAACCCTGTTGCTCCTGCATGTGCAACCCTCCAGGCACGGTCCCAGTGCAGCTCAGCACCCCACCACTCACCGATCGACTGCAGCACGGCCACAGTGCTGCCTGCAGCCACTCCTCCGTTGTTGGCTTTGGCAGCCACCGACATCATCGTGGCAGCTATGGACCCCGCAGCGATGCCGCCCGCCTTAAACCCCAGCACAGAGACGACTGCTGGGACACCAAAGAGTGCCACTCCTGCAGCAGAGACACCGACACATCTGCTACCCACATGCCAGGTCCCATCCCAAGGGGACGGGGTGTCAGAGCAAAGAGCAGGGGCTGCGGGGCACAGGGTCGGGGACGTGCCATCCCCAGGGAGAAGGGGAAAGGCGTGCAGGGCTTCAGCAGTGGCTGGTGACGGGTTCCCCAGCACACCAGAGCCCGGCTGAAGCCTCGCTGGGTGCCCAGCCCAGGCACGGGGCAGCCCTTGCCCGTGAGCTCTGCTCACACACCCCATGACACGGGTGCTCCGTGACCAAGCCGGGGACCAGAAACTTACCTACTCCAGCGGTGGCCCCAATAACCACTTTTTTGATTTCAATTGGCATCGCTAGGACAAAAGGTGAGAAAATGTCACTCAGAGTGGGCAGAGCTCACCCCCAGGCAGAGAAGATGCTGCAGGACCAATGGCTGCCCCGTTCCACCATCTCCTGCAGGCTTCCCTCCACCCCTAGGACCCACTGTACCTGCTGCTGTGCTTGCAGGACTGCTGCTGTGCTGGCAGTGCCCGTCTGCCCTCAGCACGCCGATAACACGGATAAAAGATGGAGCAGGGAGTGCCCCATCTCACCCAGCACCGCCCCGGGGCCGCCCCACACTTGTCAAATCTCAGCCCAGGAGGAGGAGGCTGGTTTGTTTTCCTCTTGGTTAATGTCCACTGGAACTCCCATGGTTTGGGTTTGTGTAGGAAGAAATGCATGTACCTTCCTGATTCTCTGCCTCACCCCCCGAGGGCAGTCAGCAAGCGGCTGTGCGGGGCTCAGGTTAAACCACACCAGGATCCAACGCCTTTTAAGATTTTAAGAGCAGATTTAAGAAAGGAAAAAAAAAAACAAAAACAAATACAAAACCAAAAACATTGATGGGGAACAGCAGCTGGGAGAGAGAGGGGTGAGGGCCAGCCCTGCAGCCCCCAAGGGCAGTGCTGGAGGGCAGGAGGTGCTGCAGGCAGGCAGCAGCAGTTCCCCTGCGGCCTGTGCAGGGAGAGGCCCCTGGTGGAGCAGGCTGTCCCCCTGCACCCATGGGTGCCCCATGGAGCAGATCTCCACGCTGCAGCCCCCCCATGGCTGGAGGAGCCCCCGGTGGAGCAGGTGGATGTGGCCTGGAGGAGGCTGCGGCCCATGGAGAGCCCCCGCAGGAGCAGGCCCCAAGCCGGAGCTGCAGCCATGGAGAGGAGCCCACGCAGGAGCAGGGGGCTGGGGGGAGCTGCTGCCTGTGGGCAGGCCCCGCAGGCTCAGTTCAGGAAGGACGGCATCCCGTGGGACAGACCCCACAGCACAGGGCCAGGGAGTGGCCGTGAGGGAGCAGCAGGGGAGACAAAGTGCCATAGACTTTGCACAGCCCCTGAGAGGAGGCTGAAAGAATTTTAGTAGCTAAGATAGGCTAAGGAGCATGTGAGAGGAAGCCTAAAGAATTTTAGTAAAGAAGACCGGTAAGGGACATGTACTGTATCTTCTGTTACCTATTGTGCTAAGGAACTGAGGCAGGAAATTCCTCACGAAAACAGTTCCTGATAGAAAACAGGAAACACGTTTCAAGAATCAACTGAAACCGAATCTGCAGTTTGAGCAGAAGCTGAGAAGCTTATGAGTAAGCGCTGAGACGAAAGGTCAGCCTGCGGTGATGAGGAAGACTCACTGATCTTCATCCCCACGAACCCTGGCAACCACTACCACAAAACACTGCGCAAGCGTGGATAGGAGGAATCGATATAAAGGACTCCCTGACACTAATTTTACTACAAAGCGGGGATAGGTCAAACATATCAGCAGGCGTCTTGAGAAGCTTCATGCCTATGTAAATCTTCACCACATGCAACTAAAGGAAGCGCTGCATTGGGGTGCACAAAACTTTAGTGGGACGACCCCGCCCAGTGCTAAATAAACACCCCTACTTTACAATCTTACTGGCTGTGGAGTTTATTTTCTGCACGTCACCCCCATTCCCCTGTTCCCCTGAGACTCTCAAGGGGAGGAGGCGGGAGAGGGTGGATGGGGGTGATGGCGTTTTTGGTTTCTTTCTTTTATTCCTCACTTCCTTACCTTATTAGTAATAGTCAATAATTTTTTCTAATCTCCCTATGCTCTCTGTTTTGCCTGTCATGGTAAGTGTTGAGGGATTTCCCCATCCCGATCTCAACCTTTGAGCCCTTTCCATCACAGTTTCTCCTCTTTCCCTTTGAGGAAGGGGAGTGCCTATGGTGGAGCTTGGCTGCCCACCTGTAAAACCAGCACACCCCCTGACCCAGACACACACGAGCCACCATGACACATCACCTGCAAAGCCATTTTTATTATTTTCCGTGTGCTCAATGCTCAAGAAGGTTGGCAGCTCCCTGCGTGGCTGCAGAGGAGCTGCTGGGCTGGCGAGGCTCTTCCTTGCGCCGTCCGCTGCCTCCTGGCATTCCTTGGGTTTGCCACCTGGAGCTGTGCTCCCCTAAAACCACGTGGCACCAACTATTCCACCGAGTGTCCCCAGGGCTGATGTCAGCCAAAATTTGGCACCAACAGGGAGTCCTGCGGCTCCTGCAAGGACAGAAAGAGGCATGATGCTTGGGCTCGTGGGTGAGGGACAGAGCAAGGGACAGAGAGAACCGAGGACTTCTCCTGACCCATGCCAGTTCACCACCATGCAGGGGCTCTGCTCCCTCAGCACGGCCGAGCCCTTCCAGCTCTCCCTTCTGGTAATGACCAGAGCTCCCAAGGGACACAAGCACTCCCGGCAGAAGAGCAGACAAATATCTGCACAGGCCCACGTCTTCAGCATGGGGTCCCATATCCCAGCAAGCCCTGAGTCTTCCTTGCACACCAAGGATCTATCACCTCCCCATGGGTTTGGGTGCATAAAGCCAAGGATGCACTGAAGGGCACAGGCTCTGCAGCAAGCCGAGCTCACAACCCTGTTGCTCCTGCATGTGCAACCCTCCAGGCACGGTCCCAGTGCAGCTCAGCACCCCACCACTCACCGAGCCACTGCAGCACGGCCACGATGCTGCCGGCAGCCACTCCTCCGTTGTTGGCTATGGCAGCCACCGACATCATCTTGGCAGCCGCGGACCCCGCAGCGATGCCGCCTGCCTTAAAGCCCAGCACAGAGACAACTGCCGGGGCACCAAAGAGTGCCAGTCCTGCAGGAGGGACACCGACACATCTGCTACCCGCATGCCAGGTCCCATCCCAAGGGGACAGGGTGTCAGAGCAAAGAGTGGGGGCTGTGGGGCACAGGGTTGGGGACGCGCCATCCCCAGGGAGAAGGGGAAAGGCGTGCAGGGATTCAGCAGTGGCTGGTGACGGGTTCCCCAGCACACCAGAGCCCGGCTGAAGCCTCGCTGGGTGCCCAGCCCACGCATGGGGCAGCCCTCGCCTGTGAGCTCTGCTCACCCACCCCATGACACGGGTGCGCCGTGGCCAAGTCGGGGGCCAGAAACTTACCTACTCCAATGGTGGCCCCCACAATCATTCCTGTAATTACCATGGCTAAGAAGGAAGAAAGAAAAGAAAAAGTCACTCAGAGTGGGCAGAGCTCACCCCCAGGCAGAGAAGATGCTGCAGGACCGATGGCTGCCCCATTCCACCACCTCCTGCAGGCTTCCCTCCACCCCTAGGACCCACTGTACCTGCTGCTGTGCTTGTAGTGCCCGTCTGCCCTCAGCACACCAATAACACAGATAAAAGATGGCGCAGGGAGTGTCCAGTCCTACCCAGCACCGCTCCGGGGCCACCCCACACTTATCACATCTCGGCACAGGAGGAGGAGGCCGGTTTGTTTTGGTTAATTTCCAGCTTTTTCTCAGGAACTGACATGGTTTCGGTTTCAGCAGGAAAGCCACACGCGTGACGCAGCAGGGTGAGGGCAGCTGCTGAGGTGCTCGGGCAGGCCAGGACGTCCTCAGTTCTCCCTCTGCGAGGAGCCGGGGGAGCTCACACAGCGTGGAGGGGACCCGGGCAGCAGAGCTGACCCCGGCTGCCAAAGGGAGATCCCCTTTTCCTATGTGGCTGTGCTCAGCAACAAAACTGGGCAGGGGAAGGTGAAGGAGGGACCCGATGGCAGCCCCGGCAGCTGAGACACAACCCTGAGAGCCGTGAGGGTTCCCGATGCTCCTGAGGAAGAGGAGGAGAAGTCAGCCCCAGCCCAGCCCCCCCGTGTGCCCCATTGCCTGGGGGAGCATCACCCCTGGGGCACCCTGAGGGCGAGCAGCCCCCCCAGATCTTGCCTCCCCTTGGGCATCCCCTATGGTGCCGGGAGGTTGCGCATGGGGACCCTGCATTTTCTCCCAGCCCAGCGGGGACAGCAGCCCTCGCTTTCTGCCCTGATTTTCCTCCCCACTAAAGAGGGGTTCAGCCCCCAAAAACCCACGGTGGGGTTCCCCTCCCTGCTCCCCCGATCTGCTCGGAGGGTGCCCAGCATTGCGCTGCGCCTCGCTGCCTGGCAGGGGAGGCAGCGGTGACGTAGGGGAAGTGGATTTCTAGGAAATCGGTCCCTTTGGTTTATTTTCCCCGAGTTTCCCTGGGTTAGTCCCGCTGCTTAACCCTTGCTGTGCCCAGCTCTCGCGGCACCCGGGTGCTGAAAAAAGACCCCAAAACCACCTTTTTTCACCACCACCACCCCCCCACGCTCCCCCACGAGCCCCTTCCCCACTCCTTACCCCAGCACTGCGGGTCCGGCTGCTCCCCAGGACGCTGCTCGTGCCACCAGTCCGCGGGGACGAAGTGAGTTACGCAGCCCGTGCGCCACCGCAGCTGGTTGAAGGGGACCAAATCCAGTTGCAAGTTGATCTGGTTCCTTTTTACCAGCCCCAGGGACGCACTTTTCTCTCCGGAGGTGCCACCGGGGTCGGCGCCAACACCGGGATCCCGGCGTGGGGGTCCCAGCCCAAAAATACATACTTCTTAACATTCCATAACGCCGGCCGACTCCATATGGGCATATGAAGAAGTATGTAGGGTTGGGAGGGAGAGGCAGCAGGGAGAAGCCCCCAGCCCCAGCATCCCCACTGGGGGCCAGCTCCAACCCTCTGGGGAAGTTGGGGACATGGGGTGAGGGTGTCCAGGGTGCTTCAGGGGACCCCCCCATCAGCTCTGGGACTTGGCAGCCCCCCCCCCCTCCTTGCTGCTGCTGTGCTGGGCCAGGATGGATCAGCTGCACCTCCCCAGCACCCTGCACCCCCCCTGCAGCACCCCGGCACCCTGCGCTGCCCCATCCCCCTCCCCGCTGCCCACCCTGCTGCAGCCCTGGGTGCCAAAGCAGTATTTTTGGCCCCCTCCCTCTGCAATTTATGGCCAGGTCGGGGGGCACTGCACCTCCCTGTACCCCCCCTTTCCTTGCCCAGCTCCTTGCAAGGCCAGGAGAAGGATGCAGGGTCCTGGTGCTCTGCGCCCCCAAACCACAGCCCGGCACAGCAGGCAGGGGAGGGCCGAGAGGAAATAACTGGGGGGGGGGTTTGGTGGAGGTCCCTGGGGTTGGAGACCATTGAAGGGGTCCTGGGGGGGCTCAGTGGCCCCCACACAGCCTGGCCAGGGCAGGGCGATGGAGGGGACAAGTGTCAGAGCAGCCCGTCCGCGCCTTGACCCCGGTGACCTTCCTACCCCTAAACTGGGAGCTGGAGCGGTGCAAACGCTGGGACCAGTCCAAACGCTGGGACCAGTCCCAGGAGGGGGGTGACTCAACTGGGGAGGGCAAACGAGGGGTGCAGGGGCTGGGGGGGCCCAGCAGGGCCGTGACTCAGCGCCGTGACCGCCGCAGCTCTGCAAGGAGCCGGTGGGTGCCAAGCAGGCGCCGGCCCCACTCGCGACACCCGCAGGCAGAGATGAGGCTGCTCGGTGGCCCCTGGAGCCTCCAGCCCTCGCTGCGGGGTGGGGGGCAGCTGCCAGCACGGCCGTGGTGCCCCCCCGATGCTCTGCTGGTGTCCTGGGGCTGCCCCGTGGCTGTCCCCTGGTCTAGGGGAACCTCAGGGACGTGGCTTTTGGGATCCCCGTCCCCAGCCTCACGGCAGTGCTGGGGCAGAGGGTGTCCGGCTGCAGCAGCACCCCTTTTCCCTCAAAAATTCGACAGAGCGGGTGTCCTGCGGCTGGACACTGCAGAGATGTCCCTGCTTAACCCCTCGGGCTCCACCTGCCCTGCAGCTTTGGGATGTTGGGGCTCCCGCAGGGCTCTTGGGGCGCACTGGGAGCTCTCAGCCCGTGGCTTTGCCCGGCACTGAGCCCCCACACCCAGGCTGCAGGCGCAGGGCTCTCACATCCCGGCCCCCTTCTTGGCTCCAGCCGCCTGGGCTGCCCTTGGGCATTTCTCCCAGCACTGCGGCGTTGAGGTGCCCCGGCCCCGGGGGAACCTTCCCGGCTCCAGCCCACGGCACAGCCCCGCAGCCCTCACCCGGGCTCTGCCGGTGACCTTGGAGGGCCGCACGCAGCCCCTCGGGCAGCTCAAAACCATCCTGCCCGGAGCCCCCAGGCCCTGCACCCCTCCGGGAGCAGCTCCCAGCCCCAGGCACGGGGACGAACGGCCCCGCAGGGGTTGGCAGCGGAGCCGGGGGGGTGCCGGGGTGGCCGTGGTGGCTCAGGCGCTCGCACGGCACCGAACAGCCCCAGCCTGGCTATAAAAGGAAGCGACTTTATTCCACGCTCTGCCCCAGCCGCGTGCCCGGCCGCGCTCTGCAGCCGCTCGCTGGCGGCGGCCTGGCCAAGTTTCAGCGCTCAGCATCTGCCCCGGCTAAGCCAGCACGGGGCAAGCCCCCCCCTCGGCCTCTGCAGCCGAGCGGGAGGTGGGCGAGCTGCCAGAGGGGGGTTTTGGGGAGCTTCCCCGGTCCCCAGCTTCACTCGTGGGCACCGTACGCTTTGGGGTTGCAGCTGCATGGTTTGTGGTGCCCTGGTGTGCCCAGCACCCCGCACACGGGGCTGCGAGGTGGGGATCCCTTCCCTCCCATCCCATCCCACCCCAATGCATGGCCAGGGGGTGCCCCACCACCCCCCTCAACCCCACCACAAGCTCGCTGCCATCCCCACGCCTCCACCTCCACCTGCTCCAAGGCATGGGGGGCCGTGGGGACCCCCAACCCCGCAGCCTCTGCCCTCCCTCCCTGCCTGAGCTGCTGCGAGCATCCGAGCGCAGGGGCCGCGAGCAGCAGCGGCATCCCCAGCCCGAGCGGGGCTCAGCTCCAGCCGAGCTCGCTGAAGGTTAAACGCTGGCGGCGGGGAGACCCCCGCTGCCTCCCGCAGCCCCCGTGCCCGCCAGCTCCCTGCGGCCACTTACAGTCCTGGAGGTGACACCGGCCGGGGTTGGGCTCCGGTGGCCATGGGGTGCCGTGTCCCCCGGCAGGAGCACGCCGCTTCCCAGCTCGCCTTGACTTTGCCACAGGACTCCTCCAGCTCGTCCGCAGGAGCTTGCAGCATCCTCCAGTTCAGCAGGAGAAGTTCCTCGCCGGGGAGGGAGGGAGGAAGGGAGGGATTTAAGGCAGCCCCTGCCCGGGCTGCGGATGCCTCCGGGTGCAGGTGAAGCCCCTCGGCTCGCTGGGGCACCCCGCAGCCCCCTTCTCCTGTGCCCTATCCTGGGCTCGGTGCCCCCAGCACGTGGCTGATGGATGCGGGGAGGCACCGGGGGTGCTCCCTGCTGCCAAACCTCTCCCTCCCGGTCCGGGCACCATCGGCGTGCGGGGCACCGACCACCTCCACCTCCTGCCCCGCATCTCCTGGGCGCACGGCGGGGGTCCCGGAGCACCCGAAACACCTCTCCTGGGCCCTGCAGCAGCTGGGGGGGCTCAAAGGGTAAAACCTGTCACTGCTGCAGCCACACAGCTCCCTGGGGACCCCACGGGCATGGGGACACCCGGCTGCCCTGTGCCACCCACCCACACCCCACGCAGGAGGTTTATAGGGTCCGGCGCAGTGCAGAGGTGCTGCCCACCCCGGGACCCCGCGCCCCCACGTCCCCCCACCCTACCTCTGCGTGCAGCCGGTCCCTGGAGCAGGGGGGGACACGGGGACACACACCTCGTCCTGGCCACCAAAGGGCGAAGGCAGCCAGGCAGCCCCACGGCATCCCTCCCGCGGCGCTCCCCGGCGGCTCCCCGCCTGCCCCAGCGCCCTCCCCGGCCCGGGTGCGCTCTGTTTGCCTGCTATTTTTGGCAGCCTCCTAAGAGCTCCTCTCAGGCTATTAATAATGAGAGTGCGAAATTCGTTTGGCCTCTCCTATATAAGGAAAGGTAGAGGCTTAGAGGCAGCTAAATATACTGGCGCGTGCGGGAGCGAGCGGGGAGGCTTTGGCAGCGAGTGTGGAAAAGGGATTGTTTGAACAATGGAAAGACGGACTCACTCGGAGCACAGGGCCCCGTGCGGACGGACGGAGGGACGGATGGACAGACGGATGGAGGGATGGTGCCCGTGGGGCTGGCCAGGCCTGGGGCTGCAGCCCCCGGTGCCCCCGGGGACCCTGCTTCTGCAGGACGGCAGCGGGAGCAAGGGGATGTGCCTGCAGCGGGGATGCTGCGGGAGGTCCTGTGCTGAGCCGGACGAATTTTCCCCAAAACATGCAATAAAAAATCCGATAATGAACCCGCGGGGCCAGCAGCACCCCAGGCTCGGTGCCTGGCAGCAGGGACGTGCACTCAGCCACCTTCAAGTCCCGCTGCCACCTCTGGGAGCCCCGGGCTGGGCCAGGCGCTGACCTTGCCCCGGGAGAGCCCGGCTGGAGGAGGGAAAGCAGCAGCAATTCGGGGAATCCTGATGGCAGGAAGGCACGGAGGAGCGGTGCCAAATTCACATGGTCATAACAAGGACAGCACGGGCAGAGGGGTGAGAATATGCGCGGAGAGAAAGAAAAAAAAAAAAAGTGCTCTCCCCCTGAGCTCCATAAAGGGTTCTTCTTTTTTTTTATTTTTTATTTTTTTATTTTTTTAACTCCTCCTAGGCAAGGTGCCGCATGGGGAGGGACGAGCAGGGCCGGGGAGCCCTGGGTTGTGCCTGCAAGGCCCCAGTAACAGACCTGGGGCTGCTCTGAGGCTCCGTGTGAGGATGGAGACAGCAGGGAAGGGGCACAAGCAGAGCCCCCTGGGGCACCCCGGAGGGGTCCCAGCACCCCGGAGCCCCCCATGGTGGGTGCCATCTCCCAGGGTGAGTCCCTTTGGGATCACACCAGCAGCTCCAACCCCGGATCCCCCATCCTGAGCTCCCCGTGGTGCTCAGCACCTGCTCTTCCCCAAGCACCACGGCTGCATCCCGTCAGGGAAGGCGCTGGAGGCCAGAGGCTGGTGTAGGAAGGAGCAGCCTTGGTATCTCCTTCAAGGGCTCCACTAATTCATAAATGTTCCCCTGCTTCGCTCGGAGGAACACCTACCCCTGGTGTAGGTGCAGCTTGAGCCCTGATGCTATTTTGCTTTCCAGTAACAGACCCACACCCCTCTGGATGTTGGAGAACAGCCCCGGGCAGAGCTGTGGCACTGCACCCACGGCCCCTAAAGCATCACCCAGCCCCTGAGGATGAGGAGGGAACTCCCAGCTCCTGCCCAGGGAGGGCAGCGGTTGCGTTAGGACCCATCCCTCAGCTGAAACTAGAGAAAGAAGCAAGGTGAGCAGCAGCAAAACATCTTCCCCGTTTATTTGCAAGAAACGTTTTGTTTAAAAAAAGGTACTTTTAGTCTTGATCCAAGTAACGCTGCAATCAAACGCCGTTAAACCAAAGTTCAGACAGGTTGGGCAGCCCGCCGCTACGCGGAGGAATGAAGAAAAGATTTAAGAGCAAACTATTTTAAAACTAGATCGCGACGTTTGCCTCAAACATCTTCGCAAGTGTTTGAAGTTCATTCGTGTTAAAGAAGAAAATAAAATCAAGCGACTCTGCCGGTTCATCTAACAGATGTCTCAGCTTTTAACTTCCACACATGGGTGACTTGTAGCCAGCGTCTCTAATTGTGAAATCAAAATGCATAGCAATGCAGAAACCTTCCCCGTGCAAGGTCAGAGCGGGACCACGGTGCTTGGGTAACAAATGAGCGATGAGATCGGTGATGCTACGGGGGCGAAGGGTTTTGAACACGTTTGCTTTACGTGTGCACACCTTGGAAGGGCTGCGTTAATGGGGCACCGAAGCAGCCTGCCCCGTCTCCCGTGCCAGAAGTTGCTGCCTGCAGCTCCGGAGGGTCCCCCCTCGTCCTCTGCAAGTCCTCGTGGTGCTGCAGAGGGATGCTCAGAAGCACCAGGGGTTAACAAGGGGAAGAGGGCTCGGGGAGGGGTGGCACCGAGCCAGAATTATAAAGGGGAGCTCGGGCAGTGCCCCGTCACCAGCCTGCACTTGGTGGTGACAAATGGTTAAGGAGGGAGGAAGCCTGTCCTAACCAAAGGGCTCGGGGCAGAGGGGATGCCACAGCCCACTGCAAAACCTTCACGGAGGCAGACGAGGGCTCTCCTGCACGGGGTGGTGCTGGCAGCTGCCTAAAGCTCCTCAACCCGAAGGTGTCTCCGCACGGTGCAGTGTGAGAACAAAGCCAACCTCGGCTAAACAAAGGTGCTGGCGAGTAGCAGCTGCACAGCCTTTAATTCTTCCCTCTTCCGTAATAGGAAGCCAGGCTTGCTTGAATGCACGCGCTGCATCTCCTGCGAGGGTTTCTGATCTCTGCAGCACGGAACGCCCGAACCACTGCAAGCAGCGCTGGCTCCCTGCAGAGGGGATTTCCCCGGGACAGACAGGAGCAAGAGACGTGAGACGCACGTGCCCCAGAAACAGCCGAGTCCAACGGCATGGAGAGATTTCAGGCACGGTCCCAGGACCACATCTGGTTAATCCCTGCAGCCTCCCAACCTCGTTTTCTTGCAGCCTGCTCGTCTCATGTCCAAACGCAGGGCGATGCCTCAGAGGGTGGCGTCACCCAAGGGTTGAGTGTTTGGCCGGGAGCGGGCTGGCAGCGAGGGCTCCAGCCAAGCACTGGGCTGCGACCCTTCAAAGCACAGCAAGGAGAGCAGCGTCCTGCTCTCAGGACATCCCCGTGTGTGGTCTGGGGCAGGCTCCTGGGGAAGGAGCAGTTGTGAGAGCGGGTGCAGGAGGAGCAGCCCGGGCAGGGAATGCTTGGTGCTGCATGCCAGAGAGACACAAACCAGAGGGTGGCCTCGGCTGTGACGCAGGCAAGCAGGAGGCAAACCCCGTCCCGGTGCAGGCAAGAGGGCACGAGGCTGTTGCCCCACTCGGGACTCCTCGGGAGAGTGCCTGGCTCCAGCTCTGGTGCCTGAGGAGAGCTGATTGCCCAGCAAAATAAACTTAGCAGCAGCCACGACTACATTCAGCGAGGGGACGTTCCCTCGCGTTCAATAGTGTTTAATCTTCATCTTGCTCAACACAAATCAGTAGTGCAGCAATATAAATACAACTGAGGAAGTTAAAGCCTTTTGGCTTTCATAGCTCAAAAAAAAAAAAAAAGCCAATGAAATGAGTTTCCAGTTTTTAAATTAAACACAAAGAAAGGCAATAAACTGCCCACCCATCCGTGGAGGAGCAGCGGCATCCTTCATGCCAGTAAGAGGTTGATTTCTGCCCGAGGACAGGGGTGCAACTCATGAAAGCAGCACAGTGAGATAAAGAAGCAGGTATGGGAAAGGACCACCGACACCTGGCTCCCAGCAAGGCCTTTCCCAGAGTTCAAGCAGCAGAGAAATACAGCCCCCGGCTGCTGACACTCACCGTGCGGTGCCCCTGGGTACTGAGAATTCCCTTTTCCACTGAGTACAGGACACCAAATGCACTGCGCGCTGTACCGGGAGCACACAGGGCTGTGCAGCTGTAGTGACACGAGGCCACTAAGCTGCCAGCCAGAGGGAAGAGCCAGCTGCTTGGAACTGAAGACACCAAACCCCGTTTGCCTGGGTTGTGCAAGTTTTAAGGAAAAAAAAACCCTGCATGGCATTTCATAACTGGGATACAGTTGTTGTCCAGACTCATGGAGGGCTTAGGGACCAACAGAAAATGCTGCTGAACTACACCTCATGGCTTTGGGATTAAGTCAGCCATTAAGCAAGTGTACCAAAGGCGAGTGTCCCACCCCTGCTCTGGTATCCACCAGGACAGCTTGCTGCAGGAGGGGGGCTCCCAGCCTAGCTAATTACCACAGGCAGGTCAGCTTTTCCACCTCTGAACAGCCACTGCGTCAACACTCCCAGGGAGAAAAGCCTAACAGTTATTTAGAACGGCTACAAAACCCTCTCCCCTACTGCAAGCTGATGGATTGTGACCATAGCGTTTAGGTTCCTCCTACTCTACGCTCCAAAAGCAGCCAGTGTATGTGAAAGGACAAATCTAAATTAAAATAGTGCTTAAACCATTAGGGAAGGTGGGAGTAAAAGAAAACAGAACTGTCTGACAGCAGGAGTAGTTTGTGGCGGGCTATTGGAGCCGGGAGGGAGCTCAGAGCACAGCCTTGACCTTCCTTCTTCAAAGAGCTTCCAAGGCAGGTGACCTGGAAGTCCACAGGTGTCTCCCTGCTGCAGTCTGAGGTGGGCGAGGAGGGTCCTGCACATTCACAGTTGCTCCAAGTGGTTCTGTCCTGCCGCGCTCCAGATGCCAGCTCTGTCTTTTCTGACGCTTCATCTGCGGTTCACAGTTGTCTTCTCCCTTTGATTTCCCTTGGAGTTCAAATTCAAGTACAACCAGTTTTAACTGAATGAAAAGAAACCCGCAAAAACAGAGTTATTTTCTGTGAAACAAGTTAGCAGCTGTTGTCCTAACCAAACTGGCCTCCAAAGGCCCTTGCAGAATAGGGACGGGAGTGGCCTTCTCTTTCCCACTGAGCTCCAGCAAAAGGCCACCTAAAGGGAGCTATAGGATTTCCTCCCTCTGGTTCTTGGGTTTTAGTGTCACTTGTCCATTGCGCAAGGAGCCGTTCTGGCTACGGAGCAGCTTCCCTTTCTCACGGTCAGGCCACGTGAAGATGGCTTCATCGCTGTCCAGTTCAGACTCGGAGTGCATCAGGCTAGTGTTGAGGACCTGGGCTTTCTGTCTGCCACCTTTGAAGGAGAGAGATTCCCAGGTTAAAACAACCTTTACCACTGGTCAAACACCACAATTTAACTCAATTCCCCCTCTAAGAGTCACGTTCTTGTCACGTCAAGGGGGCAGCTTGATCAGACTTCCCTGTGTCCGTCACTATTCCCTCAAATGCTGAACCCAAAGATGAAGTGATCCTGCTTCAGATACCCTGGTGTGACAGAGGTCACACAGACATTTCCAGATAGTGCACAGCACAACAAATGGGTAGGGAAACAAATAACATTACCAGAAGGGGCTGTGAGGAGAACTCGTGGGATCTCTGTCTCCCTGACCTTGCTTGAGGGCATTGTCTAGAAAGCTCTCTGAGGGCTAACGGCTCTGGTAAAGAGAACACGCAGGTGTGCAAGAAAAGATTGCTGCATTCTTACCACCCTCCCTACTCTCATCTCGCTCCTCTTTCCTGCAAAGGGAGGGAAATAAATTAACGGGCTGAATTTAGATTAATGCACAAGGACAGGAGAGAGACGTTTACTGATATTGTCAGCTGTGGAAATATTTAAATTTAGCTTTTCCTTAATGGAGAAATGCAACATTTCCCCTGGTATCAGAACGCTCCCTGGACGTATCTAGCAGGCAAAAAGACTTTAGTCAGCAGCCAGCCTTGGAAGAGGCAGGATGAGTTTAGTTACCAGAAAGCAAATGGTGGAGGCACATTTGCTACCGACTGCAGAACAATGAGCCCTTTATTTAACAGTGGGGCTCTTCTGTGCGGGGTGACAGATGGTCAGATTAAAGCAGTTGGGTGCAAAGGGAGGGAAATCCACCCGTTTTTTCTTCATGCAGTTGGGATGGCCCAGTTCTCAGAGGAATTATCTGCTCAGCTCTGTCACTGCAATGCCCTCCACTGCTGTTGTTAGGCACTGTTCACCTTCCTGGAACACCACTAAACGGGATAATACTAGGATAAGCAATTATTTTCCTCTAGCAAACAAGGACCAGGGACTAATTTCCACGTGCAGTTAATTAGAATGGCTACAAAACCCTCTCCCCTACCTACAACCCCTCCTCTTAAAAACAGGACCAAACTCTTACTCTAAAGGCTTATTTCAGCAGCTTAATAACACTGAATTCATGCTTAGCTGAAAAGCCTTGCCAAGGAATTGCATACTGGCAAGAAGCAAACTGACTAAAACAGAGTACCAGGACTAAATGAAAAACTTCAGAGCAAGAGAAGCTACAGTCAACGCTCAGTTTTGGACTTCTTGGATCAGGCCGGTCTCTGAACTGCTTACATTTATCTGCTTTGTGACAGAAAGTGGAAACATCAAGACTATACCAATTTCAGCCCCAATTTTTAAACCAAGGAGTTAGATAACGACTAAATACCCTGTCTACTGATCAGAAACAAGCTCTTAGATCTTCTGAGACTCGTCTGTCAGTACCTAACATCATGTTTGTTTCACTCTGTGATTTTTAATTCCACTGAGGAAGAGTGTTCTTAGTCAGCATTCTGGAAATGCTGAGCTCTTCCCTCTCATGTTTTACCTGCTTTGGGATTTGGTTTTAACTCCAGGCTTTCTTGATCCGTTGCATCCAAAATCTTATATTTGCTTTTTCTTTTGGATTTTCCTTTTCGTCTAAGAAGAAAAAGGAAAAAAAAGAATTAAGAGGCAGTTTATTTCAAAAAAAAAAGGCATAAGAAAAAAAACACCGATCTTCAAAGTACTTGCTTATTTCCGATTATGTTAATAACAGAAAGCAAAACATTAAAAACACTGCTTTTAGTTGCACATTTACAGGCTAATCCAAGTCTCACTTCTTAACTGAACCCAGAGTTTTAGGACGCAGTGTTTCAGTTCAAACACCAAGTGACAAAAACTAACATCACAGGGCTAAGCAGCCAACCTGCTGGGACTATGGGTTTCAATCTCTTTCACCTCCTAATGCAGCTACTTGGCTCTGAAGCACAGACACAGAGAAGGTTATGACCTCAGTCCCACCTCTTGCAACAGCAGATCACCATCCAGGATAAGATTCCAAAGGCAACCACAATGAGGAACGATGCAATGATCACATACAGCACACTCCACTCTGAAAGCAAAACACCGCAGAGATAAAGACGATTTGGCAACTCACGCAGTTGAGAGCACGCTCTTTAGCTGGCTGCTCTCAAGAAAGAAAAAAAGAAAGGCCTGACCCTTTGCAGAAGTTACTATCTATCACTGGCGGGATCACTAACTCACCTACAGAAGCCAAAGGCTTAAGATCCAGTGTGCAGATCCACTGCACAAGGTGTTTTTTTTTTTTCTTTCTATTTTTTTTTCCTAAAAGGCTTTTTTCAATGCATGTTGTTTTTCAAAATTTGCTTTCCTGTGACAGGAAAGCCCTTATAGGGTCACAATAGAAAAGGAGCACAATTTATACACTGAGAATAGACTCAACTCTTAGTGAGTGCTCTCCATAAGGTTCTGAAGAGGAGACACTTTCCTATCAAATATTTCCTGCCCAAAAGATAAGGTTAGTGTGACCAGGACAGGAACCATCTCCTCATGTAAGCATGATGTCAGAGATACTGGGAGAAAGCAGGTAGCTGTTACTCAGCACACCTCAGGCTTCACTTTTTGCCTCCTAAAGGTGAACACCAGGGAGATTTCACATACCACAGTTGCTTTCGCCATCCCCCATCTGCACCCTGATGAGGTTCTCCATCCAGAACGGGTCGCAGACACAGCGCTTGGTGAAGGAGTCACAGCGGCCGTGCTCAGAGCAATTCAGCTGACATGCTAGGGACCAAAGCCAGCAAGGTGAACTAAATGACTCACACATGAGGCAAAAATGGGGTAACAGAGTTCAATATGACCAATTGCAGAGAAGTCTGAAAACTCCTGCTTCACAAGCAACGTAGCACACCACACAACATGCTAAGAAAATTTCGCCTAATAAGATCATGATTGTGATGTAAAAGTCTCTGAATTTGTATATTTGTTAAGTAAATGTTTTTAAAAAAGGTTTTGACTTTCAAACTCAAAGCCAGTCTGTGAGACAGACTACAAGAAACAGATTCTTTAAAGTGATCATGAATCACAGCATGAAAACAGAACTGGCCTTTAAAAACTTAGAGTTTTGTGACCTTCAAAAGCCAATCAAAGTGTTATTCCATTAACACTGTAGTTTAGTTTCAAAAGTAACAATCTGCTTTTGATCTTCTGAATTCCCATCTTCCCAGCAACATTACAAGTGACATTTGTACGTTACACAAGATAAATAGTTACTAGTCGTAAGCAACTGGTAAATAATTGATTGATTAATTCGTAGTCTAATGGATTTACTTTACTGCTTCCAATTTAGTAAGATATAAAAGCTACCAGAGTGTGTGTGTATGCACACAGAGGTGTGTTTAGCACAGATGAAGGCCCATATTCTTGCAAATGTCTAAGACAAGGGGAAAAGACATTAGCTCATACAACAGCAACTCTTACTTACTGACTGTGTTAATTTCTAGTGCCCGGAAGATGAGGAAGTCTGACTGCTGTTTCCGTAGTTCATTTTTTAGTGTCCAGGCTACCTCTCGTCCTTTGAATATCTGGTGGGGAGGCTGGTTCTGTACAAAAAACACCATCTTCGTGCTGGAAGTCAGACAAAAAAAAGTGATTATCTCCTACTTCTCCAAACATCAGGCAGAGAACCATTCTCCCCTCTTTGTCTTTAGAGGGGCTTGCTCAGAATCCCAAATTTACCTCAAAGTCAAACTTCTGGCTCCATCTTGAAAGCAATGGTAAGCCTGGTCACACAGTAGGTGTCCCTTTAGGACATCAGATCTGAACAAACTTTGAAAACTAGGGCTGGACTGTTCTTTAGTTTGATAATGGTTTGGTCAAGTCTAGTTTCAAACATCTCCAAGCATATCTTTGCAGGTTCACATTAAATATGGAATTACCCAAACTTTCTGGTCTTCCCATTTTCATATTCTCCTCCCTCACTCTGTGATCCTTAGACCTTATGACCCATGGAAGTCATGGGCTCATTTAACTGTTCTGCACAGAATTCCAACAACAGAGAAAATAACAAGAATTACAATCTTTTGCAAAGCTTACTTTAAATGCAGGGTTAGAGACAGAAAAAAAAAAAAACCACCACAGTACTGGTACAGAGGTTGCTGCGCTCTCCATCTTTAAATGCATGAATTTTATAATAGAAGAACCTGCTCCCCTAGGCTTGCAAGCCTTGCAGAGCTCTGGGTATCCTTCAGATTCACAAAGGGATAACTGAATGTTTTAGGTTTATTATTACCACTGATCTTATGAGTGAGTCAACAGCAGCTGGGGGAAAAAGATCTTTTTAAAAAGTACAAGTCACTTTGATAGTTGAGGCAAAAATGTGATGTTAAAGCCATCTGTCAGAAAATAACCTCTGCTCTTTTATCACACTTCCCACTCTTTTGTCTACTTAATAAACATAGATGAAGTGTTAATTGCAAGAATCCCTTACTTGTCTTTTTCAGTAGAAGAACAGTGGCAACTGGTCTGGTCATGGCAGAGATAGAAAGGTAATACTGAAAACAGAAAGTGCTGGCTCTTCTGTTCTGAGCTCTTTACGTTTGCACGGACAATGAATTCTGATTTTACTGCTACAGCAGGCAACACAGGCATGAAGGAATCAATACATTATTGAACTCAGGAAAGTCTGAAGCATAACTGCGGACTTATTTCTGGCTTGCTGCATGATTTTAAGCATGTCACAATTTTTTTTTCCTCTGTGCTTCATTTACCTTAATTTTTAGTAAAAGTGGAGTAGTTTTAAGTGTAATACTGCGCTTATTTCAACAGATTATCACCCTGTCCTTGATAATTTAGTTGCCATGCCCTCAAATTCACATTCAGGCATCCTCAAATATACCTATGGTAATGATGAACTGCTTTAAGTACATAGATATGTACTAAAAAGACATTTCAGAACTAGTTGCTGAAGTTTTCTGCAAAATTGTGTATTTCCCAGACCAATCATTTCTACAGAGGTGAAAAGCTGAATTTAACCAGGTACTTTAATGCCAAAGCAGCATCAACAGGATCCAGCTGGGCTGAACCACCTCTGTATGCCTTGCTGGTTACTCTGCTTGAAGTTGAGCAGGTCCAGGCAGGCAACAGGACCCTGGCCTACAGCCCTGTCTATATGCAGATTTCCAGTTGTTTAGAAGAGACCAGCTGTAGTTTATTTTAAGCTACGTCACAACCCAAACCAAGTTTTTGTTTTCTGTTCAAACAACAATTACAGTGGTTTCCAACGTTTCATTTTACATTCGAGTTGTGCAGGCAGTAAAGCCAATATAAAACTACAAAGCTGGCATGCAAAGCTACTGCTAAGGGCATTGCTGCACCAGCACTGTGCACTGCTCTCGTGTGGCATCAACCTTTCACTGAGCTACTCCTTTATCAAGCCCCATTATTTGTCCAGTTATAAATCAGTTGTAGAACCTCCTTCAGACAGCCCTCACAATCCTCATAAACAAAGGAGATTAGTTCTTATTTTACAGATCTGTGGGGCAAAGGCATTAACAGCAGAGAAGAGCTCTGAGGACAATGCACCATCTCCAGATGGAAAAGATAGCCAAGACCTGCTTGGCAACATGCCTCCTCTGACCTAAGCAAGCAGGAATATCAATTTCAAGCAACATCTTTGCATGTTCTGATTATCCAATCTGCTTCCCAAGAGAAAACAGCCCTTTGTTTACTGAACCCTTAAGCATTCCCCCTCCTTGTACATTCACGGACAAACCCTACCTTTGCTCAGTGTATGGCTGGATCTTTTGCACGGTGATGTCTGAGTCGAGGACCCCCAGCAGAACCCCTATTTGTCGGATGAACATCCCCTTCTGCCTCTCAGTCAGCTGGCTGACGTTAACATCCAGAATGATCTCCACAAGGTTATTTTTCCTAGGATCTAGGGAGAAATAGATGAGATAAATAGAAGTTCTAAAGATCTGTATTAACAGTCTGGGTACAAGTCAGGCTTCTAGCATCTTTCCAAAAGGTTTCTGCTTTGAACACAAAAGTACAGAATCTTGCTGTAGGAAGGGATACAGTTCTATGACCATCACAGCTAATTCTAAATGGCAAGAGCCAGCCTCCAAGAACCACATAAAAATATGATTATTTCCCCTAGAACTTTTGATGTTTGACATTATAGAGCTGTGTCTACAGTACATACTTAGCACAGTACACTAACTGTGTAATCATATCTACGATATGATTCTGTGATACACTGTCTCCAGAAAAACAGAGGGCTTGATAATACACTGTAGGCAAATGTGGTACAGCACAGAAACAGACTCACCAGGTTTGACTTCCACTGTGGTCCGTTCTACATCACTCTCTCCTTTGGCATCTGTTACTCTGAGATGGAATGTGTAGGTCCCTTCTACCAGATTGGACAGGAGAAGGATGGGATGATGGTCTGAATTATTTAAGACTTCCTGGAAGGCAGAGCAAAAAAAAGATTAGGAAACCAAGCCACAAACTAGCATGATATATCACCATATTTAAGGATATCACTAAAAGGTAATGGATGAATTGATCACCTTTTTATTTCCTCAGAAGTTGCCTCTCACTGACTTCTGTGATGCTGCAGATTGCCATTTAAAAAAGAAAACTCACCCCAGCTGCAGGGCTCCCCTCATCCCGGGTCCACAGGTAGCTGACAATTCCCTTATCATCAGAGGATTTTGATCCATCCAGTTCAGCTGTATTTGTAGGCAAGGTGATGACAACATTTCCCGCAATCTTTGCAACAGGTGGCTTGTTTATCTCTAAGCAACAGAAATAAAGCAGTTGGAGAAATCTGGTAATGCCCAATGAAAAACCTGCTGCCTTAGACCTCTACTGCAACCCAGAAATACTTCTCTAACCCTGGGGGAGAGAAGGGCAATTACATGCTGTGGGATTTAGCTGAAGACACTATTTCTCCAGAGAAGGGTAGACCCCAACTTACAGAAGGCTATTTCAGTGCTCTATGCATTATTCTTCACCCATTCCTGCTAAGCTCACCTCTACTCAAACAGAACCTGGGTTTTAGGCAGCTCTGTGTGTGGCTGGACATACCTTCTTTGACAATAACGTTGACCGAGCTTTGGCTCTGCAAGTTCCTCTCATCTTTAACTGTCAGAGTAAACTCATACGTCCCAACTTGAAGGCCTGTTACAGTGGCAATGCTGCTGTTTGCATTCTCCAGCTTGACACCATCTGGGCCCCTAAACAAAGTACACAAGGATGAGTTTAAACTTTGTACAGATCGTTGGAGATAGCCTCACAACAAACACGAGGCTCAAGAAGAATTTATGGAGATGCAAGCAGACAGCTGCCTGGAAATAAAATGTCCATGACAAAAAGCAAAATTATTTTCTTCAGTTACAACACGAAAATCAAAGAAGTGCAGCATTCAGAACAAGGACTACACTATTTGGTGATTTAGCGTTTTTTAGTTTGTTTGTTTTAAACCAGGGTAACACTGATATCTGCATTTAAGTAGTGTTTAAAAAAATCAGAATTCTCAGCAAAATTGGTTCACGTGAACTGTGTAATAAGCGAACTTTTTCTTTTAAGAAAAGGTACAGAGCAAAAATAGTTCCTGCATTTATAGGAGCTTTACACAAACTTTTGCATTAGCAAATAGGAAAAGCTACTGCAAGTTGCTCCTAGGCTCTTTCCTGAATTCCCTAAAGCACTTCCATGGAATTTAGAGTCTGAGCAGCAGAACACTGCCTCTTTCAAATATATTGCAAAAGTATTAAGTCAGAAAGCCCTGCTGTTATTTGATTACAAGAGTCAGCCTCTTCATAAGATCAAGACCACATTACAGCACTGCAATTCAAGCACAGCCGGTCTCCTTTACATGTCACAACCACACTGAGAATGGGAATCAGGCCTAATGCTTGAGAAAAAACTCCACCTCTCTCCAGTTAAACATAAATCCTTGTCTCATTCGAGTCAGTGGTGAAGCTTGTCAGGCCCGATGAGACCAGGATTTAACAAAAGAGGGGAACGTGTGGTGTGTCTTGTTTGAAATTAAAGACCCAGATACTTGCAGAAGAACGGTCTGGAAGATGATACACACCGTGTTTTTTCCCAAAGAAAGGAGACTATTTTCTGGTCATCTGAGCTCTTGCTGCCATCTAGAGTGGTGCTGTCCACAGGCAGAGTTAATTCTTTATCTGGACCAGCATCCGCCTTTGGAGGCTTATTGTTCTCTGAAAAAGGATTGCAATACCTTTTTACACATACGCCAAAAAGGTGGAGCTTACTCCCCCAGCATTAAGAAGCTTCTCCAAGATCCCTAGTATACTTTTTGTCCATTATTTCTCAGAATACTCAGAAAAAATTGAGTTAAAAAGCAGTTAGGAGTTCAGATCAGTTCTATTGACATTATTACAGAAGCTTTTCTGAAAGAAACACAAAGATACAAGATCTAGAATATGCTGACAGAATGATGCTCACCTCTAAACGCTGGAATTGAAGTGGCAAAAACAGCGAAGGGCAGCTTACCTGGCTGGACTATCACAGTGACCTCTGCAGTGGACTGGTGCCCAGCAGAATCAGTCACTATTAGCTGGTAAGTGTAATCACCTTCTTGCATTGCAGAGAGCTGTAAGACTGGTGTCCTCACCCCCTGTGAGAAAACACAGTAATGTACTGAGAAGATTCCTTACACCAATCATTACAGATCTGAAGAATGTTTTTAAAACAACCATTATCAGCAGATTCTAGGGGCTTATTATTAACCCCTGCTGTGGGACCAGAGGTCTGGGCTACTTAAGCATGTGTGACACTCACACACAAATTTATGCACAGCACCAAGGACACTCTTGTGGAACAAAATAACAGTAATGCCACACAGCTATACACACCCTGTGAGATTCAATAGTTAGCAACCCAAGCAACACCCTATGGAACACTGGTCAAACCACTAATTTTGTGAACCTAATTAATGGACTTCCTTATTCCATAAATGTGACCTTCATAATGATCAAAATGATTATATGGAAACAAGTTCCTGCTTCGTACTGTTTGGGACTGAGGAGTGGCTGGTTAGTATCAGCAAAGTTGATACTCCAAAGTTGAACTCAAAAGGTTCATTTCACTGTGTTTGCCCATGACTTGCCACAAAGGGTTATTCTGTAGGATTCTAAGAAATATTTGATAACAGCCACTTAAAATGGGTTGGTTATTTAAAAAAAAACAGCCAATGAGTAATCCAGGATGAGCACAGGAGACCCGCACTGACCTGCATCTCCATCACCTTCCCTTTGCTGTTAGGGCTGAGCAGCCACTCGTAGCTGACAATGCTGTGATCATCGGTGCTCTGATTCCCATAGAGGGTGATGGAATTCTGAGGCAGGGTGATCACTTGGTTTGGGCCTGCATTCGCCACTGGAGGATAATCCACTGCTTTGTTCACAGTCAGGTTGGCAGTGGTAGAGTTGCTGGCACCATCTGAGTCCACTACTGTTAGACTAAAGAGAAAAAACAAAAAGTCATAATTATCAGAACAGAACACAAAACACTGGCTAGAATTTAATGAAATGCAAAAGAGATAGACACTTAAGATGCTTAAGGACAGGATAGTCTTCTTTTATTTTTTTTGGAAACCAGGTTAACACTTCAGGAATCTTGTACATTTTATTCTTTTATTCTTAAGGGATGAGAGCTGGCCAACAGGTCCAGGTATAACCTACCTGAACGTGTAATTCCCAGGAACCAGGTTGGTCAGTGTCAGTATGGCAGTATCGCTAGAAACCTTTTCCTCCCGCAAAGGACCCTTCAGTTCTTCCCAGTGGTAACTGACAATTTTATCATCATCAGTGCTTTCTGTTTCAATCAGGAAAGAAAATGGACATATAAAGAGTTTGAAAATAATACTTCACAAAATCCAGATGTTCAGTTCCCAGCTTTGGTCATAGGCTTAGCGGGCAAAGACATTTCTGGTACAATCCCCGTGGTCTCTATTACACTCAGATACCCAAACAGTATATTCTCCTCTGCCCTGTTTCACAGGTACACTTGAACACCCTTAATCCCAGGTTTGTGTGTGTGTTGGGGGAAGAAATAAACAAAAACCACTAACAAAATAGTACCAGTGATGGACAAGAAAACCTGAATAAATTTAAAGAAATTCCTGAAAAGCTCCAGTGTGGGCCAGGATCAGTAGAGGTGGTGTGACAGCTAACCAATATGTTTGAAGCTTAACACAAGAGACTTTGTTTGTTTAAATTCAATTCTAAGCAGCAATCTCTAGAGCTTTCCTTTTCTAAGAGATTCATTCAGGCAAGTCCCTTCAAGAGGAAACATGGAGCAGTGCTGGTGTGTGCATTCCCCTCTCCTGGCAGGAGAAGCTGATTCTTTTCACTAAACTTTACCCAAAGGGCCAGCCTAGAACCACACACAAAGAAACCAGGCTTGCTAGACTAAGGCGTTTAAAACAGCAGGTACTCACGGCTGCCATCAATAACAGTTGAAATGGTTGGCAGTGAAATTTCCTGGAACTGTGGAGAGACGATGGCAACTGGAGGCCGATTCACCCGAGGCTCTGCAACAACAACAACCAAGCTGTTACGATGACATCTACAGGCAGACCACGATAAAAAACCCTGACTAAGGAACTCTACAAAACTGCTTTGCCTTTGGGCACTAGGAGTGGCAGCAGAATACATGTTGCACATCACCTTCTCCCTTCCCAGCTCTATCTACTCCTTCAGTCCCTGCAGTCATTTAAGTGACAGCTCAGCAAGTCCAGGAAGGGAGTCCAAGTGTGCAGTTGATGTGCTATATGCAGCTTCGAGACACCCACTGATCAGACTGACTGCGGAGAACTGCATAATCACCAACATAACGATTCTTGCTGCCAGCAAGTTATGAACCAGTGAAGGGAAACAGTGCTAGCAGAAGGGGTTTTAAAAAAGGAAGGTGAACTGCTACCAGGCTAGTACTCTGGAAATGGCCGCAGTGCATCTGTTCTCCTTCCGAGACAAGCATTCAAGCACAGACTATTCTAACAGAGCAGCACCTACAGCTTCTTGCCAAAGTTTGGCTGCTGCTCTGAAAAATGAATGATTTTGATGCATGCTGCCAGCTGCGGATTCACTGCTTATAAGGAAATGATCAGCAACAGCATCCAAAGAGCAGCCACACACACTTGCTAATTTAGGGAGTGCAAGAGCAATTCCTTGCCCACAAAAGTTCTGGAAGAAGTCTTGCTGAAGTGTGCAAAATAAAGTTCTTTTGCATAAAAGGAGATACGGAACATGTGGTTCCCTCTTTACGCAGCCCATCTAAAAAGTAAGAGCTAGTGAATGCATAAGCTACTGTATTTATACCAGCTCATCTGCAAACTATGCTTTTAAAAATAGTGAGGAATGAGATTTGACTCAACCTGCCTGTGGTTGGGAATGATATTCTTTACTGGACAGGGAAAAAAAGAACCTCCAAAAGAGCTTCAAAGCTCTGGCTTCCTTTCATTTTCTGCTCCTGCTGCTATAAGCTTTTTACCCGGTTACAGCTAGTTTCTGTTGCTGCAGTGGTCTTCCAGCATGCGGCATTTACATGTTTTTGTATCAGTATTCCAGCTCTTGCATGGAGTGTTTGGCCTGGGTGCTGTATAGCAAATAGCTACGTGTATTAGCATGGCTTCACATTTCAGGAAATGACTTAACACACATACATATACACAGAGTTCACTGCACAATGAATTTTCATGATGTTACGCTAGGGTCTAGTCAAATAAGCAAAACAAAGACAGATGAAGTTAAGGAAAGATACAACCCCACTGAACTCACTTGGATTCACTGTCACGTTCACATAACCTTCTCCGTGTGCATTTTCGCCATCAACGACAACTTTGAATTCATACAGACCAACAGTAAGCTGAAAAGTAAACACAACGATTAACCTTCGAGATGGTAGCACCTTGATTCGAGATACTGAAAGGTCAAGTTAGCAAGCTTTGACACAGCACTGTATTAGCAGCATGGAACAGGCAATTCTGCTCCAATCTAGGCACACAAGGCAAAGGATGGCTTCCAAGCCCAGGTGTTATTACATGTATTTTAGTTTACAATGACTACGCAGCAACCAAAGAGTAATATTTCTTATTGCCACAGGTGACAGGGTTGTCAGTCAAGCTTGACTTTCTAGCAACAACAGAACAGAAGAGCTCTAAGAGATTAGTTCAGGTTGTCTGGGCACAGGAATCCACACTAGCAGATTGCATTTAAGATAAAAAAAAGCCTGCACGTAAGAAAAGAAATTCTCTTCTTGTGTGTCTTTACGAAGGAAGGTATTTTTTCTTTTTCTTCTAGGTGATGTCAGTGAGGCAGTCACCCCTTCATTATTCACTATTGAATGAGATGGAGAAGGACTGGGTGCTGGACAACAATTATGGTATCCAGAAGGCTGAAACCCTGACAGAAACAGACGTGCTCCTTTTGAAGGGCTTTTCTCTGCATAGTATCACGATTAAAGCCTGCAGATTTTTTTTATGAGTGCAGTAGAATCCATGACGCTGAAAGGAATGTCTCATAAAATCAGAACTGTACATTCATGCAATAATTAAAGTCATTCCCTTGTAAAGAAAACCCATGTGCAGAAACTAACGATCCTTTCACTCTGTTAGAGCTAAAAGCAGCAGCCAGGTATGAGGTCTTCCATCGCTCTAAGCTAATGGAGCCAGCAAATCATTTTGCAGAGGGTAGTACAAGGTTTCTGACCTAAACAGACCACTACATTGTTTCAGCAGTAGAAATATTCACAACCCTTTGTTAATGTTAAATTGTGCCATTTTTACAGTTTGACACACTGCTTGTAGGCAGCCTTTAGATCCTGAAATCAATTTCTTTCTTTCCCTCATGCCAGAGCAATCTCTTTTTTTATAAGAGACTTAGAAGAGCTTGTAGTCAAATGTTGGCTGCCTGCCCATCACGCAATTCCCTATTCATCCTGAAATCACAAACAAGTCTTTCCTGACTACCAGGGTCCCCGTCTTCTCCATTAGGCATTCCGTACAATAGGATACTGAGCAGCAAAATAAGCTTTACCTTAGATAACTTCAGGGTCTGGGAGTGCTTCCCTTCCATTTCTCCACTGTAGTCTTTCGGATGAGTAATCAGTTCCCACTCGTAGGAATAAGTGGTTCCTTAAAAAAAAATAAAAATAAGAATCCAGAAGTTAGTTTTTAAAAGGCTGCCTTTCTGCCATGCTGAAAAAAAGCAAAGGTATTAAACATTTACAAGGCTCATTCTGCTGCACTACAGAGAAATGAGACAGCTTGGAGTTTGGACTGTAGGTTTTGGGAATATACCCAGGAAAAGAAACAATCTGTGCTTCTAAACACATTTACTCAGGAGCCAAAACCCATCATTCTGCCTCTAAGGCATTAAAGAGGTTTGGAACAATCACAGCTCTAGAATGATAAGAGAGAAAAGCCTTATTGTGCCCTCAAATCCTGCAGGCACAACATAATGCTGGTTTTTGAACAGGAATACATCTCATCTACCCCTGTTGCTGTGCAACACGTAACTTGCTCGCCTCCCCTTTACAGTCTCTCACTGCTACTGTGGACAGAGCTATAAACATGAACTTCGCAAATACCCGTGAATAATTCGTATGATGATATGGAAAGTGCATAGGAAAATATCCTTCAGTTTGTCGAGCCCACTGAGTCAGATTTAAATCCACCAAATGAGAGAATACGTGCTAAGAGAGGTTGCCATGTACCAGTAAATATCACTAACGCATGCTGAAGAGCTGCTTCTTCACGTGTCACTGAGAATATGCTGCCTCCCAAACCTTACCCAATGATTTTGTGGCACTTTCTATGCTTTTTGTCTCTTTCTATTTTCTGTGAGAGGCAATAGCATAAGAGGAAAAAATTTTACAGGAAACTCTTCTCTGACAAAAGATGTTTTCAAGACTGCCCTTGTTCAATGCTTTACATAACGCCTGTTTGTCATTTCAGCATCACAAGCCCTTAGCAGAATTCCCAGGGAAGCCTTACGAGGTGGTGGTTCAGGAAGCACAAACGCATTCAGCTGAACTTCATTCTCTGGCAGGGTCACTTCGACGCTGTCTCCAGCAGAAACCACCAGCTCCTTCACAACTGAGAGGGAGAAACACAGAATTAAAAGAGGAACAGAAAAATTAGGTACATACATAAAAACACACACTCTGGCTTCACAGTCTGTGAAATAAAAATCAGCCACAACTGGCTGTATTTTGTAAACAACCCCATCACTCAGTATAGCTCCTGCTTCAGGTTTCAGCCTCATTGTTAAAGCACAAGCACTAATGGGGTTTTACACTTACAAGGCAAACCCAAAATTACTCAGTCACCTCCAGCTCTTCGCAGACACTGTGCAGCTCCTGCTCCTTTTTTAAAGAGCTGAAACGTGACCCGTGGGCCCTGTACAGGGGCCTCTATTCAGCCAGGTCCAGCAGGACGGGAAGGGTTTCAGCTGACAGGTTTTTGGCAGAGACCCCAGCTGCAGTCTCATGACAGAGCAAGACAAACACTGCTATTTACCAAACTGCAATTTCAGTTCTTTACAAATATACGAAGAATCCAAGGCATTTCTTAGTTGAAAAACTGCCTGGGGGCTCAGAGATTTTCTAAAATCTGCATAGCTACCACACTGCGTATGGGAACTCAAAACACAAACCTTTTCCTTTTATTTACATTTTGTTTTCAGCTACTTCTTATCCAAATAGGAAAGGCCTGTAGCGTTTCTCAAGACTTTTCCTGCAATCCTATTTCAAATAAATTAACAGGTAGCTTGTTTTTAAAGACTACTAGGGAAAAACCAGAAAATTTTGGCTGGTGATTTTTTTTTTCTGCTTGTTAGCATTAAAATGATCAGAAAGTTCACTGCATTTCTTAAGAGTGCCTCTCAGCCTCCTCCCCTTCCCATTTATTTTTGTCTTTTTTATTATTGGGCCTGGGAATATGCACAGAAAACAAGAATTACAAGTTTGCTATTTCCTAGTCTGACCCCATCAAAGACAATGTTTCAGAGATATGCATCAAAAATCCAAGTAAAGATAGACAGGGAAAATGTCAGTAAACATTTAGCCTTTTTTCCATTTAATAGCTATTGGAATTAACCAGTTAACTAAAAGAAAACAATTTTTTCAGGTCCTTTTTCCCCCCTTCTCAATTACTCCATCTCCTGGGATTTTATAACTCCAGCAGTCTTTCAGCTGCAAAGAATTCCAAGGCAAAAAGAAATGTGACCTCAGTAGAAAACAAAACAAAACAAACAAACAGACAAAACCCCAAAACTCCTCTTAGAAAAAAATACCCTTCACATCATCTTCTCTGCATTATTTAGCAAAACAAGGAGGCCCTGGCTACATTACATTTCCTACGCAAGCCACTGAAGCTGTTTAAAATAAGTTTCCCAGTTTTAGCTGGGGTAAGTCCTTAAAAAGAATACTAACTTGCTAGCACAGGCATCCAATCAGCTTCCTGCCAAAAATGTCTTTGGATGCAACATTTCCTTTATACTTTCCATTCGTTCCCTTGTAAGGGAAAAGAAACCCTAAATTCAAAAGAAATTCGGCAAACTGGATTAATTGAATTCTGAGCTATCACACGACCAGTAAACATCATTCGATGTAAGCACGCATCCTTATAGGATGAGCTAATGGCCTCGGCGGGTTAACAGAACTGTCCGAAGTGCATTTTTGTTTTTATACATTCTCAAATGTTTGCTTTAAGAAATACCAGTGTGAACACAAATGTCATTTTGCTGCAAAGCAACGCGTGGGCTAATGGCCAAGTACGCTGCTCTGTGGCTGAACTGTGCATTGACATGTCAGGGATGGAAGAGAAGAGAATCAGATACACCCCATCTCTATCACTGAACTCGAGAGAGAGCAACGTGTCGTGACTGCTGAAAGAACGCTTCACATGGCTGTGCCTTGCACCCCATCTCAACTTGCATTTTGGGAACGAAGATATCAGTTACTTCCAAGCTGTTCTTGGAAACAGACCCAATGGTCACGTGCCGATTTGTGATGCCGAAGTCCCATTCCAGGACCTCGTTAGTTAACGGGGACCAAGCACCCCAAGTGCTGACACACAGCTCAGCACTCTTTCAAGCATCATTTTTGAAACTAATTTGTGTTTTTCAGTGCTGTGATGGCTTAACGAAACCTAACCAGACAACCTCTGCAGCAGCACTGCATGTTTTCACCTGGGGTAGTGGCAGTAGTACTGGGTGATGCAGCAGTGTTGGTCTGGACCGTAGAAGCACTCGTGTTTGTGGGAACACTGCTTGGCACAGAAGTAGCAGTCTGCAGCTTCGTTGTGCTTTTCCCCTGCACAGGGCTGATGGTGGGCAGCGTATCTGAGGAGTGGGGATGGATGAAAGCATCATCTGGCTGCTCAGGCTTCTCGGTCTTTCCAGTGGCTGTCAAACTCAGTGCTACGGGACTGGAGAAAGTAGTCAACGCTGACAGTTCTGGTGCGGGTGTTCCTGTGTAGGTCTGGAAAGAAGAGAGCAGTGTTAGTTTGATTGAGCTCTGACTGTCGGTTTTGTTTGACTGTGTTTGTTTCACACTGGACCCAAGCTCCTTTGGATCCCGCTGTACACTGAACTCCACCAGAAGTTTCACTTCTTCAGTCTGCAGAAAGCTGAAAATGCCCTGGTTTGTTTTCCCCCTAAGAAGGAAGTTTCACTGCTTCCACTTCTAAAATGTTTCTCCATGTCCTTCCACAGCAGACAGACCACTTCTAGCTCCACGTGAAACCAGTCAAGACCTTAGGTCCAAATACAGCATCTGAAGTCTGAATACAACATGCTATTGATGTGGCAAATACAACAGAAGCTCCAGGTTCAAAACTGTGTGTGAGTGGGACTGAAAGAACAGAGCTGGAACAAGGCAAGAGCAGAAAACAAGGACCAGGAGCTGGGGTACACTTTGGGTATTTACCTAGGCCACGTACTCCTTTTTCTAAAAATGTGTAGTTGGCAAGCAGGAAGGAGGAGGACTGCAGTGGCATTTTTATTTAATAACCAGTTCTTTTCAGCAAGATGAAGTTTATTTCAGAGTCATTCTTCAAAGCAAAGTGACCTGACACAAACAACTCCCTCAGTGCATGCCAGAGGAGATGCTTTTGGGGCAGGGAGCTGAGCTTATGGGCAGAAAGGTTGCTCACATCCATAGAGGATGAACCACTTTATTGAAAATAATCAAAGTGGCAGGAACAATTTCCTTTCCTTGATCACAAAATTCCTTCTGCGGTACCTAGCCCTATCCCAGTTCTTAGTCTGCCAGGCAGCACTCTCAACAATTCACCTTTTACCATAAAGTGCATGTGTGTAGCATGTTTTCTTGAGCTAATCTATTTTGGGAACATCTGCTAAATATTTAAAATGAAACAACTTACCATTTTTGACTCGGGAAGCGTTTTGGAACTGGATTGCCCACCACAGGAACTGATTAAAAGCTCATATGGAAGGAAAAATTCTCAAGTTTGCACACTGTGCCATGCTACTGGCATTCAGTCCAGGAAATGGGGACTGTAAAAATGTTTTAGACCACGGTGGACAACAATCTGTTAACGTTGGGCTGGGCTTCTAACCATTAAATGCCAGTTGTAAAAGCAAAGCCATCCTGCACGTCCCGGAACAGCACGTTGTTTGGAACAGAGATGCAGCAAAGTCTGATGCAGCAGCCCTGGGACTGGTGGGTGTCCTAGCCAGAGCCATCTTACAGCAACCCCCAGCTTTAGCAACTGGAGATGCTGACACACTTCTGCTAAGTATTAGAGTGAAATAGTCAGAAATGCCAGCATGACAAGAGCTGAACAGCCAGGCACGAGCTCAAAGACACTTGAGACAGACTGCTCAGGAAAGGCACGAAAGCAGAACGTCTCCGTGGCTGCAGACCACAACAGGGAACCACTTTTTGCTTGCTAAGAACCAACCCACGCGGGTGCAACAACAGCTCTCCCAACCAAGGCAGGGAGACCAGCATCCTCCTGCTCTGCACAGCAGCTGCAGCTCCACTTTGCTCAATAATATTTCCAGTGAGCTGGATGCTTCCTCGCCTCACTTTTGAATGCCTAAAATACTCTACAGTTAAGAGAGATCCTCTTCCTCCCAGAAGTCTTCGGGATGAATCGGCCGCCAAATGTCTGTGGACAGCTCGAGTTAGATAAGCTTTGCCTGGAGCAATGTAGCAGTCCAAAATGCCTCTAATGCTTGCAAGCTGAGGCATTCCTTATCTTTACTCCATAAACCCGAATTCTTTAAAGCAAAGAACAGAAGACTTCATTCTTGGGGATAAATGAGGGGGAGACGAGAAGTTTGCCAGCTGTCCTATCTTATTAGCTTACCAAATAGAGAAAAGTGACATACTGGCCTGAGAAAACATGTGTCAGGCATTTATTCCAACCCCTAACCGCCTTTGTCCTGGGACAAGCGACCTCTCCCCCTCTCTGAGGGTCTGCAAAATTTAAATAAAGCAGGCTACGTGCATCAGAATCTGCACTGAACCTAAGTTACTTGAAAGAGAAACACCCATGTTCAGGAATTTTATTCCACTGATTAATTTAAAATGGGTCTTTCCCTGGTGAGTCTTGTCTGAATTTACAGAATAGGTTCTCTGCAGCTCAGATTGCATCTTCCATTGTTTGCACCAGGTGTAGCGTCTGCAGAGACCCTCAAAATTTTGAGTAACTTCACAAAGCATCACAGAACTGGTGCTGAGTGTGAAGAGAGACCTTTCCTCCTTCCTCACAGAGTAGACGAGGCTTGCTAGGGCTAGGAACAGCCCAAGTTGTGAACGCAGCAGTGAGCTCTCTGGCTCTGCTCTCACAACTCCACTTTAAAGGCTGCAGCCTTTTCCTACAGCCTGCCTGCAGGACTGCTGCAGTGCTGCAGGAGCCCTTCTCATCAGCAGCGCTGCACTTACACGCTTCTCCTGAGCGGCCATTAAATGCATTGCTAGGTTTTATTATATTCCTCGCTAGGTTTTTTAATTGGCAAGTATTTCTGCAACAGGGCAGAAGATTCAGTGCTTGGCAAACGTCACTCACTAATGGAAAAGCACACATTTCTCTTCCTTACAGAAGGGGAGATGAGCAGGGTGCATTGCAGTTTGTCCTGGGACATCAGAGCAGTGTAAGATGGATACAGTAAGCCCACGGATTCATGCTTGCTGCACATTAGCAAGTGGCACTGCAGGTGGCTATGGAGCCCTCAGAAATCCAAGACAAAAATTAAAACTCAGTGAGGCAACGTTGTGCTAAAAAAGTCACTCGAGTTTTCCCTGTGTCTCTAGGAGAAAAGGAAAAGATTTACTTGCCATGCATTCAATGCTTGTAACAGAGGAGGAAAACATGCACATTGCTTTCTTTCTTGCCTTTTAGAGAGGAGTTGAGCCACTTTTACCTCACCTGTCCTCTCCTACTTCAAATGTAGGATGCTCCCAAGCATGGACTGCTCTGCATGCAGTAATGATCCAGCATTCTCCCCACCTTCCAGCGTACCTGCCAAACCTTTGTTACAAACAGTACTAAATACCCTGTATCCACCTGCTGAAGCTGTGTAGTGCTTGACCAAACCAAGCCTGAATGAAATTTTATTGATTTTAGTATGTGTGTCACTGTAACTTCACTTATTTTGTCCCATAACCAACCCAAGTTGGAGGACTCCCTGCTTTAGCATCTCCCTCCTGCACAGGCTGGCCAGGTCCCAAGTACACAACCTCAAATGTTACATCCTTAGCCTAAATTAAACTGCTCTCACACCAGAAATGCAAGGACAGCTGCATAGCTTGACTTACATTTCGCCTGTGAAAGTGGGATGGTTCAATAATCAAGGAATTAGCCCGGGGCTGGGTGGGATTAGCTTCGACTCGATACTCCTGGTAAGGTGGATTTTTATTTTTTAATTCTTTCTCCTCCTTGAGAACTCTATCCTAAACCTCAGCAGTGTGATTGCCACTGATTTCATCACAGCCAATACTTTTCAGTAAGAGGTTTTTATTGAGACTGTAAAAAAAAAAAAAAACAAAACCCTCCCCCTGCACACATCCAGAGGAGCACCATGATGACCAAGGAGAGCACTTCCTAAGGATGGGAAACCTTGGATACTTGGAACTATTCAGCAGCTGATTAATGCATGAAATGTAATATTTGCAGCCAGCTTACTGAGAAGGCACCAAACAGCAATAACATGAACAAACTGAACAAGTAGGGAGACAGCAACTATTACCCAAGAGCAAAAGAAAACACTTCAGGCTGGCTGTCAAGAAGCCTCGCCAGGCATTACGTATGTGAGAGAATGGGGTCACCGAGGAAATCGCAAATATTAGGAGGAAGAAAGAACAGGCAGGGCAGAAATGCTGCAGTACTGCAGGGGAGAGAGAAAGCCGAGATGTTATGGCAGCCCCAAACGCTGTGAGGTTCTGGAAAATCAAACATTTGTAAAGTATTAGTGCATGATTTCACACGCCACCCGGGCTGCCCTGGAGCTCTCAGCGGTGTCCTTTGGCTGCTCTCCACATCCTGCTCTGCAGGGTGGTGGCTCACACCAGTCACAGCCGTACCTGGAACCAAGATTTGCATACAAGGGAGAGAAATAAATTCTGTCAAGTGTGCAGAACAAGAGTAATAACAGGAAAAGGCAGCAGGCTTCAAGGATTTACAAAGTTTCATGGAGTAGGATTCTTCCTGTTTCACCATCAATCGGTCTGGGCTTTTTCTGTATGATGTTCAAAAAACAATTTGCAGATTTGAACATACAAATATCATTTAACTATTAAAACGTGCTTCCTCTTGAGAGTAACATCTGGATTTACTAGATTAACATCGTACATGCTTGGAATAGGCACTAAACTGGCTTCATTCAACCAGTGCCAATGTAAGCTTTTGTGGATTTGAGAAACTGAAACTGTCTTCAAAAACAGAAGGAAAAAATAAGACGCCAACTCAAGCAAGCAGGCTGACATGGGAAACCCAACGCATGTCTATAAATAACGTACTTAACTGCCTCGATCCAGCACTCAAAAGAAAACAGTTTACCCAAGAAAACAGTTTATGACTTCTGTGGATCTAAAAAGGTACTTTTATAGGTAAGTCTTCAACTCACAAGGGCTTCCCATGGGCATCCTATCACATCTCACCTTTGCACCTCATCTGTGTACTCTCTGTGATTATATAATGGATAAATAAGCCCTATCAGGACTTCCATCTCTCCTCATCTTCTCAAAGACAGTTTATCCTACATAGGAAGTGGGAAAATAAACCCAACCCCGACAAAACAAAACCTGTCTGCCCTTGCTCTGTTGACAGAAGGCCAGAAGGTTGAGAACAGACCTCCAGAAAATTATCCTATCACTTAGAAAGTTTCCAGTCCAAGTCTGCACAAAGCAAGAGCTGGAGCGTGACAGCTGTCCCAGAACTCCCCCTTACCTGTGGCAAGCCAACACTGTCTGCATCACTCGATCCGTTCACAACATTGCTTTTAGGAGGGAACGGGCTTTTGGTTTTCTCATCGTCTGGATCCTGCCCACGTTTCAGTGAGTCTTTCTTTTGATTTGGATGGGTTTCAGGACCAGGCCTGTCCTCCACTAAGTACCTCAGTACTTGATCCTTCAAGCGCTCCGTTTCACTTCGGCTGTTTCTAGATCTGCTGTGTGATGCTCTGGCTGCAGCCTCACCACTGGGGCTTGCTGCTACGTCCCCTTGCAGGAGTTCCTCCCTGTTATTTGCCAGGCTCCATTTCTGGAAGGACCTCCGCAGTCTTTTTTTCCCTTGGACAGGGATGCCCCAGTCCAACCACCTGCGAAGCCAGGTCTTTGCCTCGCTTCCCGTCTGAAGCTTTAAGTGCTCTGTGCTTTTGGATTTCTTTAAAAACACCAAAATGGAATCAGGAGAGCCAGTCCTGTTCGCCTGACACATGGCAGGCAGAGTGCAGTTCACCTGGATGCACATATTTTCCAAGAACCAAAAGGCATCACAGGTGGGGCGCTGGCAGCAAGCAGTCTGACAGGACTGTACAGTATGAAATCCTTCCAGAAGCTGTAAGTGATGATCCTCCCACGATCTCAAATGTCCACCGAGCAGGATCGTCCCTGGTTCACACTTAGATCTGGTCCAGTTTGCATCTGGGAAAGGGAAGACAAAAAACAACTCTCAGTTTTTCAAAGCAGTGGACAATAAAACCTCATTACTATTGCCAAGATGAATTCAGAGTACAGAAGTAATGTGGGAGACAGGGTACAGAGCAGCTCGACAAGGGCTTCCTGGAATCCAGCCCTGGCCTTAAGTGTCTTTGCATCAGGTTTTAGACATTAATCTGCTATCTGCACGTCTTCTGTCAAACAAACCACGAGCCATTTGACGTCATTTCAGAGTCAAGTTACTCCAGACCTCAGATCAGGGGTAAAGCAGCAACTGCTTTGCATACGGATTTGTCTTTTTAGCATGAAAAACTGGAGTGCTTGCAGGGATCAATGGATTAAAGGCTTCCAAAATTCAGAGCTCTACAGATTAAGGGCTCCCTAAAAATAGACTAATGACCTCTGGGACTGCTACACTGTGCTGTGTTCAGCATCCAAGGGATAATAGGTCACTAGAAGATTACTTTACAAACTATGTCACTGGACTCCGAGTTGTGCAGCTGGACACTGTGCTCCAGATCTGGCTCCCTGTCAGGAAGGGAGCTCTTGAACACAACACAAATGGGAAAAACCTTTTTCTGTTATAAACAAGAAGCCTGAATTTAAATTACAATACCCTGATAGACATTTCTTGACAGCATTTAAAGCAGAGTTCAGTAACACATTATTCTGTTTGTAACTCTGAATGAATACAGAATTTATGTTGAATTATACTCACGTTCACTACAGTAGGACTAAAACTAACAGGCATGTAAGTCAGGCTGCTGATCCATCTGTCTGTCTCCACTGAAAAGAATTCTCATCCCACTTCTCCTGGCACTTCCAAGTCACAAACACATGAAAATAGAGTATGTTGAGGCCCAGGAGAAAAGCCACACAAATCTCCATGTCGTTATCCATCAAACAGAAGTAATTTGGTGATGGCTGCAGTGCGTTTTATCAGGCTTTATCATGCAAGGTTCCCCCGCCAACACTACTGTGACCCCCTGCCGACCAGGGCAGGCTCAGGTCGCGGGAAGCTTTCCAAGTGCCAGACACTACACAGACATAAGTGGAGCAAGGAGATACTTTTCTGATCAAATCTGGAGCTCACAAGCAGTGATCAATCTCCTGGAACACCAGACCTGGAAAACTCTGAGCATACACCAATACAGACAACTGCAAGCATCTTCCACCCTGGACATTTTAAGTTATGTTTGATTTAAGGACTTTAAATCCCTGCCACAGACACTTACCTCATACCAATGATGTGGCACTGAACTCTAACCCCTCTGAATCACAGCTAATACCCAAAGGTGGTGATACAAACGTACCGTGACCTTCCCCCTCCTCCTGCACCAACCCCCAGCATCTCCTGCTAAACCTCAATGGGCACAGAAAGCAAGCAGGGATGACGTAGGATGCATTTCATTGTAATTCAGTTACCCGAACACCACAGTAGGTGTAACAACTCTTCTACTACTGGTCATTAATGTCCATAGTAACAGTGACCTTCTCACCCAGAAGGGAGTAGACAATTGTTTAAAGTAATGGGTGCCAGCCATATCCACGCTCCTCCCTTGCACAATCTCTTGCAACACCGAGAATCCTAACCCAAAATGGGAACTTGCACCACATGGAAAGTTTCTTTTTGAGACATCAGAAAGGAAAAAGCAGAAGCGTTATTTATAGCTGATTTGTGAGGCCAGCTCAGCAAAGATGAGGCTCCGGAAAACTGGCATCAGCTGCAACAGAAGGCGCTCGAGATCTGTGCCCAAGCCACAGGGGACCAGAGCTCTCTGCAGGTGTCTGAACCCAGAGCTGCAAGGAAGGAGGGGAAGCTCTTCTCTTGAGAAACGTCCAACTGCAACGTGTAAGTGAGAGATTGCATATGTTCAACAGAAAGAGACATTGACAACAGCACCTTTCAGATCAGCGCCATCCTTGTCACTCCTCATCATCCTTCAAGAGCAAACAGACGGCAGCCTGCCCGGGGCAGGCATCTGACCTCGTTCTGCTGCGAGGTGCTCGGACTGACAGCCACCCTGCCACGAGGCTGCGTGCACAGGCAGGGCCAAGCACCTGGCACCAGCCCGATGGGCCTGGAATGAGGGCAGAGTCCAAGGAGGGGGCTGTACACACAGAAGGCACGCGTGGATAAAAGCCACACGCACGTTAGACTTGGAGAAAGAAGTAGCAAATGGAAGGAAAATGCTCGTGCTGTGAATTTCGAGAGGATCTTACCTGTAAAGACTCAAGCTGGTCTAAAAAAAAAAAAAAAATTAAAAAATCACTGACTGTTAAAGGTGAAGCACTGTCCCTAATATATCCTGTGCAAAAGGGAAATGTGATGCTTGCCACATCCCTAAAAGCCCTGCTCCTCTACCTCAAGTATGAGCTCTGGCTCACACACACCACACAAATTAACTAAATGCAGAACCCCATGAAGCTCATCAGGAGCTTTCCAGCATCAGCCCTGGAACTAAGCACAAACAGAATGTGGCACATTTAAGAGAATGGATCCCAGATACTCCATGTGAGGAGCTGCCACATACACAAGAATTGTATTTATTCATTTAAAATTTAAAACCTGAATCCCCATGAACATCCCTAGGTATGCCAGAGCCATGACTGAACCCAGATGACAAACCACCACCGTGCTGAGAGCATTCTGCTTCTCTTTTAACTGAGAAGTCAAGACGCAGAGTTGGAATTATGTGTTGGCCAGATTTCATTTCCAGCGCTCTGCTAATGCCCACCTAGGACATGTTTATCTGAAATTAGCCAACACAGTTTCCATATCGCTGTACGCGGACAGCTTAAAGCTCAGTTAACTCCGAGAAACAACAGAAGTGAAGAGGCAACCTGCAATACGCTGTGACAGCATTCTGGATGTGCATTTCTCACAGAGCCATACTGATTTTCAGCTGTGCAATTCCTACGGCGTTTGGCAGGCAGCGCAGATTCACACAACTTCACTGAAGCACGATGGCAGAAAGCAGAGCTCCTCAAGCCACATTTGCATTTCAGCTCTGGTCTGCCAGGAAAATTCACGCAGCCTCTTCACAAAACGCTGCCTCCCTGCAGTCCTACAGCAGCACCCTAAGGGGCCGAAGAGCAGTGATGGGAGCCCCACGCTGCTCTCTGCAGCCTTACAAACGGGGATCTCCCCAGAATTGGCTGTAGCACCTGCTCTAAATGGACGTGAGTCTGTACCAAACAGGAGGCAGCTGTGAGCACAGGCAGAGTTATCAACTTCAGTTTATTAAGACAGAAGCTGGCTGTTCAGCCCCTTCCAGTTCTTTGTGCCAGACACAATTTCTGTCATTTTCTTCTCTAGGATCAGTAAAAAACCACGGTCCTCAATCCATGGAGTTCCTGTCCCTGTGGTGCAGCTCACAGCTGAGCAGCAGGAGAATGAAATGGGTAGGAACAGTTTCTATTAATAAGCTCAGGTTCACAGACTTACTCAGGCAGTTAATCCCTAACGATACCAGATTAATGATTAAAGACTCGACTGCACAGACTTTTTTTTAAATCTGTCACATGTAGCCAAGTATGTCAACGTAATTCCTCTTAGGTAATGCCACGCGATCACAGAAGCTTCCAAGCAAACACGATTCCTCTTCAGTTTACCAAATCTGCTGCTGAAGTGACACACACAAAACCAAAAGACCAGAAATGCTCTATCCATAATTACTTCTGTTTTCATACAAGCATCAATTTTCATGGTTTTTAAACTCTCCCAAGCAGGTAAACACTCAAGGCCACAGCACCGGCCAGAACACCAGACAAGATCAACATATGATTCACAGCTCTAACTCCTAGGATATCGCTAGAGACAGGAAATGTTAAGTACGAAGTCCGGTCTACAAAGAAACACAATCCGTGTGACACACCACTGAAACACAAAGTGTTGAGAACACTTTACTAGGAACAGGAATACCACTATGTTTTTCCAGGTTCTAAATTAGCAGATTAAGATCTCACAGCTCGTTAGCTCAATCAAACCTATTGGTAGGTGTCAAGGAATGCCCAGTGAAACAATAGACATTGTGGCACCCTACGGAACATATCCAGGAATGCAAGAAGCAGAGCAGAACAACGCTCCTTTTCCTCTCTTGCTGCCATTAAGACACAGCAACCTTTCTGCAAACGGGAGCTGTAACATGGGTTCAGCCTCTAATTCACTGCAAATGGAAGAAAACAGCCACAGAACAAGCTTTCTTCACAAAGATCTGATAAATGCCACGTGCACACATGGTAAACTACCACCTCTGGGTGAAGATGTGTCTTCAAAATACTCACAGAAACTTAACCCATCTCTCTGCAAAGAGAGAATCTGAGCTTTTTTAGATACAAGAAAATAATCCCTTCCAGGCCATTACATGAAAGCAGCCATACAAGCCGCTGATTTGGTTATTTACTTGAGCAGTCAGTTGGTTACTCGGGTTTGAACAGGAAATAAAAGCCAAACAATAATCACCTGTAGGCAAATACAGACTATTGACACTGGGGTTGGGGGAGTCTTAAATATAAGAGGGCCAAAAAAAAAAAAGTTCTTCCCTTTCCAACCTCTTTTAGGTATCACTTAGATGAAATTATTATCCCCCCCCCTCGCGCCCCACACCTCTCCACAGAGTTTTGGTTATCCTAGGACTTTGACAGATCATTTAGCAGCTACCAAGTTTGTTTTTAATCCGCTACAAAGTCTAGCGGCTAATAATTTCACCTTCCTCTCAGGATATTTTAAACAAGTGATGGGATTAACACAATCAAGAACAGAGACACGACCCCAGACAGAGCAGAAGAATCACCTGTCGAGGAGCACAAGGCACACAGGCAAGCACACAGGTAGAACAGCTGCAGACTTCTCAGCTCCCTTGCAGGTCTTTCCAGGCAATATCGCGACAGAAACAGAGCGCTGATGCTGATCTTGGCTCCCAGCCTCTTCTCCATGGCCTTTGCGGGCAGCAACAGGGTTCTAGAAACGTATGAGAAAGAGAAAACATCTACTGGCAACTGGAATATTGTCACAAGGACCCAGTCAACGTAATGAAGAGCACGGAGCAGTTGTGGAAGAAAAGGAACATCTAATCTTAATTGCTGTGACTTTGTCCAACTGCTGCTAAGTACTTATCAGTGTCACCAGGCTAAACCAAGACCTTGGTTGGGAACCGCAGCAGTTCACCCTCTCATCACCCCTGCGATTTCCCCTTTCATACTCCACCACTTTGAGCATCAAAAGATCTAATAGTGAAGCCTACTGGATTCCTGAGGCACATTTAGGAACGTTTGGGTTCGGAAATACCACGGATGATAGCAACCCACCCAGCCCCACCGGGGGAACAGGGACCTCAATAAACCCCACACAGCTGCTCGGCGCCGTCATCGCCTGCACGTCGGTGCTGCCTGGTGCCAGCCACCAACAAACAGAGACGAGAGCACAACGGCGCCGAGCTAAAGACCCAATTTGCCTCATATTTTGCTCGGGGGGACACAAAAAATGAAAGCATCGAAGCTCCTCTGCCTTTCTAGGGAGGAAGGCTGCCTCACCTGTCCCTGAAACCCACGTCAGCACTGGGGGATGTGTGCTATGGAGAAATCCACCTATAAAATATTCTATATATCTATATAGAAACCTATATAGTATATTCTATATATGTATTTGTACCTCTTTATATTTATTATCTAGCTCACAAGTGATAACCCATATCTATTTCCTAGGAGAAATAAAGCGTTATTAGGCACCAGGAGCTCAACCTGTCAGCACCGAAGGCTCAAAAAGGCGCACCAGCACAGCCCTGACTAGCTTAACACTTAAAAACTCATTATTTACTAAATTTAGGAGGAATTTGGCTCCAGCATGGGCACGGAGAGGCGCACAGGGGGTGGGAAGGAAGCGGACCCGGGGGTCCCGGGTTCTGAGGGACAACCCCGGGGGGCTACGGGACGAGGGCTGAGGGGGCCGAGGGGGGTCCCCACACACCGGGGGGGTCCCCCACACACCGGGGGGGGGTCCCCCCGTTCTCCCCCCGCCTCCCGGTGCCCCGGGCACGTACCAGCGGCTCACGGCGAGGCGAGGCGAGCTCCGCTGCTCCTCGGCGGCCTCAGGCGGGCGGCGGGGCCCGGAGCGCGGCGGGGCGGGGGGCGCCGGGGCCGCCTCCTCCTCCTGCCCCGCGGCCATGGCGGCGGCGGCGGCGCCTCAGGAGCGGCGGGCGCCCGCTCCCCTCCCCTCACCCGGAAGCTCGCCCACACCTCCCGGAACCGGAATCGACACCGGGGCGACCCGTGAGGGCACCGCCTCGCCGGTACCGGGCCCTCGCTGCCGGCTGGGCCCGGTTCGGTGCGCGGCCCCCCCCCCCCGTCCCGCTGCCACCCGCCGGCCTGGCCGTCACGGGTGGTTTGCCCACAGTCCCCCGTGAGGAGGCTGTTGGCTTCGGGCACTGCTCAATAAGGTGCCCGCTGATTGGTTGGCGGGGCGGAGGGAGCGCGATGGTTGGCTGCGAGGCGGAGCGGGGCCGCGGGCCGTGAGGCCGGGCTGGGAGTGGAGGGGATGGCGTGAGGGGTCGGGTGCTGCCCCTAAAATAGCGTAATTTGGGGAAAATCGGGCTGGTGGGGTGGGTTTCTCGGCAGTGGGAGGGGGTCTGGCGGCGTTCCTCAGTTTGTTTACGGCCTAATTTTGGGGGTGGGGTTGGGGGTGTCCCCCTCCAGCGTTCCCCCCTCAGCTCCCTGTCCTTTTTCCCCTCAGCTCCTCCTCGTTTCCCCTCAGTTCCTGCATCGCCGGCTCCATCGCCATGGCCTCAGGCACCGGAGCTGCACCCAAGGGTGCTGCAGGAGCCAGGAGCGCCACGCTGAAGAGGTGCCTCGACGTGCTGCGAGACGCCAGCAACGACAGCGAGCAGTTTGCTGCCTTGCTTCTGGTAAGAATCTGAAGGGCAGGATGCTTCAAATGGATAGTTGGGTGTTCCCACCAGCAAAGTGGGCATCATCTGTCCTTCGTTTGGGTGCGGTGATGGTTAATCAACATTGCCACAGCTCTTGAAATCCTCTGGTAAAGCTCTGGGTTAGAGCTATGACTAGCGACCAACTCAGTGGTCAGGGGTTCACTTTTCTGCACCCATGAAGTACAGTTTTGCTTCTTATTTGACAGTTCAGTTCTTTAAAGTTGCTAAAGCCCTAGCAAAGCTTCTTGTTATGCTGTGCCCTCACCCCCGGTTTGCCTTACAGGTGACCAAAGCGGTCAAAGCTGGAGAAGTGGACTCAAAGACCCGCCGCCAGATCTTTGACGCAATTGGATTCACGTTTCCAAATCGCCTGCTGACCTCCAGGGAGCCCCCATCGGGCTGCCCCGAGCACACCTTCAGGGCACTCGGCCTCACTCTGTTGGCATGTTTCTGCACCGATCCGGAGTTAGCTGGCCACTCGCAGATCCTGAACAAAATTCCAACCTTCAATGACGTCCTGGTTTCGCCCTGTGATCCGGACAGCACGTCCATGATCGATGATGCATACCAGTGCCTGACTGCTGTCATGGCCACTCCCAGGGGTCCCAGGGAGCTGGTGACCAAAGGAACAGTGGCTGCCCTCTGCCGTGCCTATGTGAATGGCAATTATGGCTCTGACCGTGCCTTGACGCTGCTTTTGGGGCTGCTGGCTGTAGCAGAGGCAAAGTGCTGGCAGAGAGATGCTCAGCACCTCCTGGCCGTGCTGAGCAAGCTCACTGAAGAGTTTCTTAATGCTGAAGACATGACCAAATTTGAGCTGTGCGAGCTTTTACCTCACTTTATCCCCCTCTCCTCACCACTCACACGGGACTCAAAGGGCTCTGAATGCCTCCATAGAATTTACAAAGGGCTGGCCAAAATTTTGGGCAGTAAACTCAGCCATTCACAGCGGGACCCTGCTCTGAAGCTTGCTGCCTGCCTCATGCAGGCCTGTGGGCCAGAGTGGATCCCAGCAGGGAGTACTGGTAGCAAGTTCCTGGCCTTGCTGGTGAACTTGGCTTGTGTGGAGGTCCGCCTGGCCCTAGAGGAGCCAGATCCCATGGACACAGAGCGGAAAAAAGAAGTGGTAACAGCCTGCTATGTCCTCATGGAGATGGGCATCCAGGAGTGTCTGAAAGAAGAGGAATCGCTGCTGGAAGAAGCACAGAAAATGCAGCTCATAAGGATCATGGAGGAAGCATTTGGAGCTATAATATATTATTTGAGGCAGGTAAGGCAGAGCTTTCAGGCAAAGGGCACGTTTGATGTCCCTTTGGTGTGGTTTAACCCTGGCAGGCAGTGAAGTGCCACACAGCCTCTCGCTTGTTCTTCCCAGGAGGGATGGGGGAGAGAATTGGAAAGGTAAAAGTGAGAGGATTCCTGGGTCAAGATAAAAACACTGGAACACTTAAAAATGGTTCTTGCTGGTCTCAAAAGTACGTGCAGGTACAGGATGATGTGGCCAGCCTGACAGATCACAAGATAGCAAATGAATAACTCCATGATCACTGTGATTCTTGTTTTTTTATTCCATCCCTTTCCTACCTCTAAATAATAAAGAGAATTAGCATATGCCACAGCTGCAGAAGTCCAGACTGGCTCCGTCAGCTCAGCAGCTCATGGACGTAGCTGCGTAGACCAAAATAGGCATCTTGGCACACCGTGGTTTTCCTGACTGAGGTAATTTGTGAGGACAGGGGCTCTGACATGTAATTTTCTGTCTGCTTCTTCACACAGGTTACAGAGGAGGAGCTGCAGGACCCTTTTGTGTTTGCTTCTGTTCGAATCCTTGGAGCCTGGCTGGCAGAAGAGACATCTGCCCTCAAGCAGGAGATCTGCGAGCTGCTGCCTTTCCTCGTTCGTTATGCCAAGAAGCTTTTCAACAGTGGCACAGCTGAGGGTCTTCCCCAGGCGGAGGGGGTGCAGGCTGGGTTGGCCAGCACCGAAGGTTCTGTCCTACCCCAGGATGCTCTGAGGTGTGTATTTTAAACATAGATCTGATACGTTTCAACACAAGAGAGCTCAACTTTTTTTCCTGGGTCCGGAGAAACGCATCCTGCATTTAGGTCAAGTTCTTGTTGATCCTTTCCTGTGAAAGAGGCGACTGGAAGTGCCGCAGTGCGATGCAGCTGTCCAAGCCCTCTGCGTATGACTAATGTGAGATGGCAGCTGCTTACAAAGACTAAGAGGCAGGGAAGGACTTGTGGAAGCAGTGCATCAGGGCTTTAGCTGTAGCAAGCAGAGGAAAGAATAGGGCCTTTATGGAAGCAGATCAGCCTACATGGTCCCTTCTTTGAGGTTTCAATACTTTCCCTCAGGCATGAGGAACTCAGCACTGTGTTGCTGGTTGAGCTGATTTTGGGAGTCATTTCTGTCTTCTGTTCTCCCTGCAGTACCGATTCTACAGCCCCTTTCTTCTCCTGGTTGGATGCAAATGCAGGGCTTAGATCCCACTCTCTGCATTCTACCTTGTGTTTTCAATTTCTTTCCCCTTCTAGATTTCTGCTGCCGGGCTTTTGCCATTTAACAGCCGAGGACAGGCCCAGGGAAATCCTCATCTCCGAAGGGGCACCGGCGCTGCTGTGTGACTACTTCCTGCATCAGTGGAAGGTGCTGACCTCCGAGCCTGGGTCCCTGACACCCCTGACGAGCACTGAGATGAGCCTACAGACTGCGTGTGGGATTTTCCTTAACCTGGTCGTGACTGCACCCGACCTCATCAGGTAACAGAGCCTCAGAAGCTTGTTTTAAGGTTGTCAGTCAGAGGGTGCAACGTGAAAGGTGCTTGCAGGATCTTTTAAGACGCTTTACTGAAAAAGGGATGTCCCTTTTCTCAGTGCCCATCACATTACCTTTCTGAAGCTGCATTTCCCTTTGAAGTTTTCAGGTGTGTCTGGCTCAGATCAGGAAGTGACTCAGGGTTTCCTTTCTCTCTAGGCAAGAGAAAACCTTTTGCTCCTTGATGGACACATTGCTGAAGGCTCTTCCATTTCTGCTACCTCAGAAGGATCACCTGGTTCTAGCAGCTAACGTTGCCACTCTGGGCTTGATGATGGCCAGGGTCCTTGCAAGTTCAGCAGGTGAGAAGTGTTCCCACTGGCAGAGCTGCTCATCGCTCTGCACAGGCAGAAGCTGGGGGCTGGGTGGGTAGGCTGGAGAAAATAAACACGAGGGAAGCAGGTCCAGTTTCAGGTGAGATTTCTAAAAACGTGACAAAGGAAAGTGTGGAATATGTAGAAAATTCAGCAGGCTGAGGGGCTGGGAAGCAGCACGGGTTAAGAGATTTCTACAGCAGGAGCCTGGTATTCTGCTTCCCTGAGAGCTCTGCTGCAGGCGGATGCACTGAAGCATCCCTCCTTTAGCCCAGTAAGCGTTGTACCAGCTCCTTCTTTTCCTTTTTCATTCCAGTTCTCCAGGAAACCCAGTCCACCAAGGAGTTTTTCGGAGCCACCATTCGCTTCCTGTCAGAGGCCCACACGGCCCAAGCAGACCCCAGCAGCCACCAGCTGGCCCTGGCCGTGTCCCCTGCCTACGCCAGTGCCTGGGGTGACATCGGTGAGCTCTGGTTCCTGGGGATGCAGGCCTTGGCCGGCTGCGTGCCGCTCTTCCCATGGCTGCCACAAGCTGTCCTCCAGGCGCGGTGGCTGGAAGCTCTCTCGGAGGTTCTGGCGCGCGTTGCTCCGGCCTCGGTGGATTTTGAACTCGTTGCTGCTTTCCAGGGCGTGCTGGTGGAGCTGGCCAGAGCCAGCAAGCAGTGCAGGGAAGTGATCCTGTCCCACAACGGGGAGGAGTGGGCCAACCTGTACGGCATGGCAGCTTTGGAACAGTGTCTGTCCGAGCAGTAGAGCTCAACAGGTTTTGTTCTGTCCAGAACCTGACACGAAGAATTGTTGCTGCCTCAGAACATTTCAAGGTGTCCCTGCTTGACCTTCTGTCAGTACTTTGCTTTAAAAACAGCCCATTTTATTATTAAAGAGGTTTTCTACTGCGTCATTTTTCCAACTCATGAAGTGCTGGGATTTATTTCTGCTCAGGGTCCTGGGAGAGATCCCTTCAGAATGTCACCTTCTGTCACAGGCCTGTGTGGTGGTGAAGTAGCTGGGCACTACAAGTCTGCAAAAAGCAGGAACACGAAGAGCTTTAAAATATACCAGTGAGAATAATTCCATAATTTAGCACAGCTATCTCCTGGTTTGGGGGTGCCCAAGGATCCTTATGCATTCACACCTGCGTACTAGTGCCATCACCCCATATTCATGCCTAGAAAGAAAGCCCTTACAGCACCACTTGCTGCCCCGTAAAACACCTGCACAAAACCCAGCCCTAATTTGCGGTGGTTGCTCACACTCCCTCTTGCAGCAGGGATGGGATGTGCAGGGAGAGCTTTCTGGTCCTGCAGGGAGGAGTTCTTCGACCTGCAAAGACCTTGACTCACTTTAGAGCCTCAGACAGGAATTAGGAAAACAGAAATGGAGGAATTGCAGCTCCCTGTCTCCCCGCAGACTTTGCAGAAGAGGAAGGCCAGATGTAAAGAAGTATATGATGTATGATGTACTTCACTTGCACCACTGGCTTTGCAGCCCGGGCTGTTAGCCCTAGGGTACCCTGTGAGCCTGCAAGCATAAAAAACAAACAAACAAAAACCAGAAATAGCAGCCTGGATGGAGAGAGGTGGTTCGAGCTGGGCTGATTCAGCCCTGCGCAGAGCTCCCTGCTCGGGCTGCGGCCGGCCACTTCGAGGCGTTTCCACCAGATGTCACCCTAAGAGCAATTTGGGAGAGGCATCGTGAGCGGGGACCGGCTCTGGCAGGCAGGACAGACCCCACGGCACTGACCCCGACTGCCTGCAAAGCCACGGGGAGGGGGGACCCGGGGAATCGCCTGGTAGAGAGAAAAAACAAGCGAGGAGCTGTCTCGAAAAGAGAGCTGCCACTGGGACCATTCCTGCTTAACACCAGATTTTTTACTCACCGTTTCATGAAAGCGAATGCCTTACATAACCGGAGAGGAGGCGTCTGCTGTCTGCTGTTGCTCAGTAAAAATATCTTTCTGATCTTTCCAGCTCAGCCCCGAAAAGTTAATGCAAGTTGAAACAAAGGTAGGTGCTACCAGCAGAAAGCAGAGCACGCCAAACAAGCAAATGAGGCTCCTGGACTTGGAAAAGAGCGTAACTCTGAGCACGCGTGGGCTGGAAGCCTCCCCGTGCTGCCAAGAACAGCTCATCCCTGCAACGCGGGGAGCTTCAGTGCTTGGAACAGTCAGAAATACCCTTCAGATTGTAAGAATAAAAATATTCAAACACTTGTTCAACTGTTCCCCATCCCTCATGCTGTCCTAGGAGCTCCTCTGACACCCAGCAGAAATCCCGTCCCAGCCTGCAGGACCCCGACCCAGAGCAGAGCAGCCCTAGACCCAGAGGCCTTTCGCTGCTGCCTTTAATTCCCAATTAGGCCACCTGCTAACGGCCTAAGGATGTCCTCCAGGTCATCCTTCAGCACGTGCCGGGCAGCAGCAGGCTTCGGCCACGGGCAGGATCCCGGAGAGGACCCTGTGCTTGTCCCACACCTCACTCTGTTCAAGGGAAAGTCCCCACTGGGTGTGAGAAGGACCATGCCAGAACCCTTCTGAGGCTCTCGATGTCCCTCGGGATGCTTGTTTCTCTCCGTGCCATGCAACACCAACCCCATGGCTGCCACGAGCTGGCAGAGGACAGAAGAAGAAACCGGTGCTGCTCCGGGAAGCTCTCCCAGGTTGGACATGGAGCAGAAGCACTGTGCCGATGCCTTGAGAATGACGAGTGCCCTCTTGTCCCAGGCCACCACTTTCTTAACCCCTTGCTGGGACAGAGCACCCCTGAAAGGCTGATTTCCCTTCCCTGAGCCCTGGCAGCAGGTCCGGGCACAGCAGGCAGAGGCCTCTCCACCTCCTGGGTTCATGCCCGGCTGCAGGTCCCTGCGTGCCCCAGCTCGGTGCCCCTGGCTGCCAGCAGCTTGGCCAAGGCTTCAAAGGCTGCAGGGGGGGGGGGGGGGGACGGACTCCAGGGCCACCCCGAGCTCTGCAAGCCCAGCTGGGGGTCCTGCCACCGGGACCTGGCACCTTCAGGGGTCCACCCTCCAGTGCCAGAGGTGGGCGATGGCACCCGCTGCCCGCGGACCCCTCTCCACCGCGGCGCTTTGAGATCCCAGCAGGGAGCAGGATGGCAGCTGGCGACACCCAGAGCAAGCTCTGCTTTATCTCCCGGTGCATTTGCCACACTGGGACACAGCTCGCCGGGAAGCAGCCAATTTTTCACCCTGCCTTGGCCAAGCAGGATAAGGCCCCCGAGGAGCTGATGCGCGCTCCGCTTTGCTGTGACAGCTTAAATGGCATCATGCCTTTGCGAGCCCTCCTGTGGCATGCGTTATCTTGCTGTGTGTATCCGTAGCATCCCGAAAGCACTGGCAATAAAATGAAATCTTTCAGAAGGTCGCTGCATGGAGGGATATGGGAGCAGCCCCTTCCCATGAGCTGCAGGACGTAATGGGGGCAGCGACTGCCCCGTCCTGGGGCAAGGAGCTTTGTTCCCCACCTGAATTCCCTAGGAATGGATGCAGGAAGGGGCAGGAGCAGCCCACATTTCTCTGAGCTGCCCATGGGAGCCAGATTTTGGGGAAGAACCAGTCCAGCTTTGGCTGGGGCAGTGAGACGTGAGCACATATTTCTGTTCCCGTGCCCCAGCATATTTTTTTTTTTTACTGCTGACCCCTGAAAGCAAAGGTGGCTCCCTCAAGCCCCTTGCACACTCCTGGAAGCACACATTGACCTGCCTGGGAAGGAGAACCGGGACCTTCATCACAAAACCAGTTTTTCAGAGTTTTCTGGCTTGGGTGCAAACGCAACCAGTGGGCCCTTGGGGCTGGGGACGGGGCCCAGGCTGGTGCCAAAAGCTCCCCGTAGCCTGGGGCAGAGGGGACAGGTCTCCACCTGGGTCACATCCCTCTTAGCAATTATGGAGGACACCGAGCAGAGCAAAACGTGAGCCCAGCTGGACGTGCACGTGGTCTTTAAGCCTGGAAGCTGAGGAGCAGAGAGCAGTGGGAGCTGCACGGGGCTTTTGGAGACCCCCAGCAGTCTCTGTGGCCACTCTGAGCCAGAAACGCCACCAGGCAGCTGCTGGGACAGGGCGTGCGTGGCACCAGCAGCCCCACCAGGGACCTTGGGGCAGCAGGTGACAGCAAACAATGATTTGGCATCGCCGCTGGTGCTTCCCAGGCTGCCTTCTGCCTGCAGAAAGCCTCTGTAAGGGCGCAGGGCTGGGGTGGCCAGAATTGGGGCCACCGGTGCCAGCACCGCGCCAAGCCACCGAGTTGCACCAAGAGGCATCAGGGCAGCTTTTTCCTTTTCCTCTCTCTTCATCCATCAGTTTTGCAGCTTGCCTTTGCCTTGCCTCATTTTGGGATGGAAACACGGCTTCCCCCCCGAGCTGCCGCGGGCAGGCCAGCTCGCTGCGCGCACCACGAGGGCTTTGCGCCGTTTCACCTCTTTGAGACGGAGAAAGGCTCGGCATTGTGCGGGCCAGACGAGCGAGGGACTTTAAGAATGAACTGGAACATAGCTGCGAAATGCGGCATGTCCAATCCGATTTTTCCTAGCAAATGAAACGGATCTGGCGGAGAATAAACACGGACTTTCAGGAGCGGCGTCCCTGAAAAGCGTTCGAGGGGGGATGCGGAGATTGGAATAGATCAGCCCCCGACACCCCTGCACGGCCCTCCTCCCTCCCCTAAATGCCGTCTTTAATAGAAATAAATTAGAATAAATGATCAGCCTCTGCCTCCTAAAGACAGGTGGCAGGGTAATATTAAAAGAAATGAATAAAAATTCATTTAATGAGCATTGTTAATTAAACCTGGAAATCAAAGAGGTCTGAGTTGTGGGAATTCAGAGGAAAAAATGAAAATGAAGGGAGCTGTAGCTCGGGGCAGGAAGAGTGGAATTAAATTAAATGTAATGTGGGATTGTGTTTGTTAATGTCTATCACACATCACAGTGTGTTACAGTTTAGGATAAAGTGTTTGTTCTCTGCCTGCACACAAATTACACGCTGCCATGGATGGAAACTCCAGCACGGCACAGGCACGGTGAGGACGGTGGGGACGGGGACAGCGGGAGCAGGGCCCTGCCACGGAGCCGTGTGTCACCAGGGGTGTGCGAGCGTGGGGTGTGTGCAAGGGTGAGCTGTGCACCAGCAGTGGGTTGGTGTGCCCCAGAGTGCATCCACGTGCATCGCTGTGGGTTGTTCTTGGCTGCAGAGAGGGCAGCAGTTGTGGTGCTCGGTGCCTGGAGCTCGGTGCTCGGTGCCCGGTGCCATGCGCAGGGCCCCGATGCTGTGGTCCTGCCTCGCCCCGCACCGCAGGGAGGGCCCGAATGGAGGAGGAGGGAGGGATGGGGAGGGATGGGGAGGGATGGAGAGAAGGAGGGAGGGATGAAGAGGAAGAGGGAGGGATGAAGAGGAAGAGGGAGGGATGGGAGAGGAAGAGGGAGGGAGGACGGATGGGAGGGACGGAGGAGGGGGTGCACGCTGCTGTCGTTGCTCCCCGGTTTTCCCTTGCTCTGTCGCACCCCGGCTCTCTCCTTCCCGTCCCCTCGGGCAGCAGCCAGGCCCGGGGCGCCCCCAAATTTCTCTCCCTCGCCCCAGGCCCCTCGCTGGGGTTCCCCGGTCCCCGCCGGGCAGGCGAGGGAAGCGCCCCGCGGGGAGCCCCGGGCTCTCTCCCGGCGGCACCGGCCCCGGGCTCTGCCGTCGGGCGGAGGTCCCGGCCTCCACCGGAGGCCCGGCCGCTGTCTCACCGAGGCCCTAACACCGCGCTCGGGCTAATAAAACGCAGCCTCTCTGCCCTCACCCCCAGCCCCCCCCCCCCAGCCCTCGGGTCTCGGTCCCGCTCCGTGCCGGGGGCGCTCCCCGAGGGGGCTCGCAGGGGACGTCGGAGGGAGCCCGGGGGGACCCTGGGGGGGGGACCTAAGAAGGGGGTGACACGGAGGAGGGGGGGACACGGGAGCCTTAGTCCCCGGGGCCGCCCGACGGCTCTGGAGCAGCCCCGGCCGCCCCTCGCCCCCTCCGCCCGTCGGGAGCCGTCGGGGCCCCTCGGGAGCGGGCGGCGCGTCCCCGGCCCCTCTCGCTGACGCGCGCCCCCGGCGCGGCGGGCGCGCCCCCGCCGCTATAACTGGCGTGCATGGAGTCGGGGCCGGCGCAGAGGAGCGGGCGGGCGATGGGAGCCGCCGCTCCGGCGGGGTAAAAGAGGGGCGGAGACGGGGGCGCCCCCGGGGCCCGGCCCGCCCGGGGCTCGCCGCGGGCCCGCACAGATGCTGGTGCACAGCTACCCGGGCATGGTGAGTGCGGGACGGGGCCGCAAACCGGGGCCGGGGTCGGGATTCGGGGCCGGGAGTTGGGGGTTGGGGGATCCGCACCCGACGGGGGGGTCGGCACCGTCCTCACCGCCGCTGTCTCCGCCGCCGCAGGACCGCGCCGAGGGGCTCCCCGGGGCACCGGCCGGGGCCCGCCTGCCGCAGCTCCCCGCTCTCAACCAAGCTCCCTACGGCTCGGCTCCGCCGCTCTGCCACACGCCCGCCGCCGATTTCCAGCCGCCCTATTTCCCCCCGCCCTACCCGCAGCCTCCGCTGCCCTACCCGCAGGGCCAGGAGCCCGGCTACCCGCACCTCGCCGACCCCTACGCGGCTCTCAGCCCCCTGCACCAGCACCAGCAGCCCGCCTGGCCCCCCCAGCGCTCCCGGCAAGACGACGCCGGGCTCTTGGCTCAAACCCACCGGGCTTTGGGGCTCGACCCCCGCCGGGAGTACCCCGCCGTGCCCCGGCTTCTCCACGGTCTCCCCGACGGCGGCCACGGCCTCCCCGACGGCCCGCTGGGCCTCCACGGCCTCGGTCACCACGGCCTCGAGGATATCCAGGTACCGGGGCGACCGGGGGGAGGCCGGGCAAAGGGGGGAGGCCGGGGTGGTTTGGGGAACGGGGGCGCACGGGGCGCTTTGGGGTGCCGCGGGGCGTTCGTCCCCCCGGGGCTCCTCGTTCCCGGGAAGGAGCCACCGGGACGCGGCGATGGAGAGGGCGAGGCCGCGGCTCCGCTGCGCTCCCGGGGCCGCCCGTCCGTGTCCCAGCGGTTCCTGCTCGCCGCCGGCCCCGGGAACACCGGGAGCACCGGGAGCACCGGGAGCACCGGGAGCACCGGGTCCCGCCGCTCTCCCCCCCGGCTGACGGCTCTGCTTTGGTGCTTTCAGGCCGTGGATGACGGCGGGATGAACCTGCTCGATCAGTCCGTGATCAAGAAAGGTAAGAGCGCGGCGGCACCGCGGGACGCGCCCCCGGGCTCGGCTCCTGCCCTCGGGGCTCCCCCACGTCGGTTTTATTTTATTTTATTTATTTATTTATTTATTTTCCCCCGGGACGGTGCCGGAACCGGGCAGCTCCGGGGCGGCGAGGAACGGGCGCGGGGTCCCTGCCGTGCCCGGCTCCGGTGCCTCTCGGAGCCTCGGTGGGGGCGAAACGAAAGCGGCGGGGCCCGGCGGGTGGCTCTGTCCGTTTGTCCGGGACCGGCCGCGCTCCGTCGGGCCGAACCGGGGCCGCTTCTCCCTCCCGGTACCGGGAAACCGAGGGGCTCGGCCGGGCGGCCCCGGCTACGGGAGAGCCCCGGGGGGCCGCGGGTGGTTGGAGGGGAAAGCCCCGAGGGGGGCTCAAAGGGGCTCGACGGCAGCTCCGGTGCCCCGGGGCCGCGCAGCGCGGGCACGGCGGAGCAGGGGCTCGGCCCGGGAAGGACAAAACGGGGCCGAGGTCGGTTTTGTGCTGCCGAGGCTCCGGGACCGGAGCGGGGAAGCGGCTCCGCGGGCAGGCTCCCCCCGGTGCCAACCTCCCCGAATTTATCGCTTCTTCTCCCCGACGTGTTCCGGGGCTTCCACGCGGAGCCCCGCGGTCGGAACCGGCTCCTTCCTCCCCTCCCGATGTATTTTATCAGCTCCCCTCCGCCCGATATATTTTATTTTCTAACAAAAATTCCGCTGGGGAGTTGCTGGGAGCAGGAGGGGGACACGAGCGATTCGTGCGGCGAATGGAACGGGCAGGGCAAATAACTGGGGCAAAGCCATCGGGAAACGCTCTCGGGGATTTTTTTACAAAATTAGGGGGGTGAAAGGGACGGGTTCAGCGGCTTCCCCCCCGCTCAGGACCCGAGCACGGGCGGGGAAACGGAGCCGCAGCCGCTCGCCCCGGCGCGGTGCGGGGTCGCCGGGTGCCGGGGGCGAGTGGCCCGGGGCAGGGGGACCTGGCCCGGCTCGGTTCGGCTCGGGGACGTTTCCCCTTGCCCGGTGGCTGCAGATTCCCCGGGACCGGCCTGGGACCGGGGGTGAAGCTCTCCCGGTGCGTTGCGGCCCCGTTTGGGTGAAAACTGCCGGGTCCGTGCGCCCAGCTCCATCCCACGGCGTTTCGGCGGAGCGTTCAGGGCGGTAATTATTTGCGCTTTAATTAGAGCACACGAGAGGCATTTCAACAAATCTCCTCGCAGGAGGGATGGTCGCAACAAGCTGCAGCGTGCTCCGCCGTGCCGCCGATGTGCTCGCCGGGCGGCTGCTTTTTTGGGGTGCCGGCAGCATTAAATTCCCGTTTAGAAACGCGTCTCGGTGGGAGCCTTTGGCTGCGGGTCCGGCTGAAATTATAGTCTCGTTTTAATATTATTTTATTTCCCAGCCGTTTTTCAAAACGTGCGATTAATTAGAATTTTTCCGTCTCTCGTCGGGAGGAATTGTTGTTGCGGGGAATCTGTTGTGCCAGATTTGTACCTAAAGGTCCTGTAGGCTCCCTGTTTCGAAAGAAAAAAACAACAAAAGAAAATAGAAAATAGAAATAACCCTGGCTGAAAAGTAGGGCGTTGCGGTACAAACACTTTGCCTTTCCCGGTCTTTTTTTTTTTTATTTATTATTATTATTTTATTTTTTTCTGCCTGCCGTGTTTGAATCAAAACATAAAGCGCGTTTTGGTGAACAATCAGATTTCGGCTTGCAGCCTTCGGGCCATGTCCCGCCAGGGTTTCCCCGTCTCTACCCGGGAGCTCAGCGCATCAAAAACCGAATTATTTTTTGGGATCCCGGCTCCTTTTCCCCGCAGCCTCCAGCGGCGACGCCGGCAGAGCCGCGGCACGGTCGGGGAGGCGGCGGCGATGGGGGGGGTCCCGCAGTGGGGCGGCAGCGCGGGGACCCCCGGCCCGGTGCGGAGCCGCATCCTGCACCGGTGCCCGGGACCACGCTCCACAACCCCCCCGGAGCGAGCCCTGCCCGGCCTCCCCGTGCCTCCCCCGGCTGAAATTTCGATGTCTGCACCCCCCCCTTCCCCAGCCGGGCTGCTCTGGGAGCGATGTCCCAAAAACCGGAGTGAGGAGCCCGAAGGAAAGCTCGGGAATAACGGCGGCTGCGGCCGGGGGGGGGGTCCGGGAGGGGTCGGGAGCGGTGCTGAGCTCCTCGCCCCCCCCCAGGACCGGGGTTTTTGCTCCGTTTTCCAGGGCACCGCTGCGCGCAGGAGCCGTGCTCAGGAGCTGCGAGCGCCGCAGCCCCGTGCTCGGAGCGGGAGGATTAATTAATCCTCCGCCTGATTTCTTTAATTTAGTTTTGAGTGAAGAGCGGGGCCGTTTGGGTTGGTTGTGTCTGCCCTGAGATGTGGCCCCAGGCAGCATGGCCGTCGGGAATTGCCCCCCTTGGAAAAAAAAATAAATTAAGAAAATAAAAAAAAATAAACCAGGGGCAAAGCCCGAACCTCGCAGCTGGGCAGGCAGGGAGGACAGCGGGCAGCTCTCGGTACACTTCTCCCCTTCCCAAGCTGGGGGAATGGTGGAAAAAAAAATATGTTTTTATCATAAATCACGCCAAAATCTCAAATCCCGCAACCGGGGCTGCTTAATCCTTGAATTCCTCCCCGTACGGCCCTGGGACAGAAACCCAACCTAAAGCCGTGCGTGTGCAGGCAGATAAATCTCGCCGTAACGAGCTGCCGTGGTCCTGCTTCAACGAAATGTACCCCCCCGCCCCCGGTCCCTGAAGCCCCCCTGGTGGCCCCATTACTGGGGGCAGTGCCCGTGGGTGAGTGGGGAGCGCTCGGTGCCCAGGGACCCGATTTGTGCCCCCCAGCCTCCTGCAGGGGACACGGGGGGCACGGGGGGAGATCTGGCGATGCCGGCAGAAACCAAGCACGGCCACTGGGCCAGGAGCCCCACAGCGAGGGCTTTGGGATCCTAAAAAATATGGGGTGAGCTGCCCCCAGCACAGGGATGGCAAACGGGGAGTATGGTTTGGTTTGGGAATTAATAGGGTAAAATCCTGCATGGGGCGGCAGAGATTTTGTGATTATCTTTTGCGCACGCATTTGTTTTTTCTCCCTCTTTTTTAAAAGTATTTCAGAAATGTTTTCTGTCTTTTTCTTTTTTTTTTTTTTCTTTTTTTTTTGGTGGGTGTTGGTTTGTTTTGGTTTTCCTTTCCCCCCCCCCCCAAGCATTTATGTAAGAGCAGGACTATCCTAGGCTTGAAAACATTATAACGAGCTCGGAAAAAAGTTTGGTCCGGGGCTCTGGCTGCTGCGGGCTCTGGCTGCTGGAGGCGTTTTCTGCTGCGTTCACCTGCTGCCCCTGTGGTTAGAGGCCCGGGCCAGCTGCTCACGTCCTGGTGCAAAACCCCACAGACAAACTGCAGCACGGGAGAACCTGCCCGCAAGCCCCCAGCCGCCGCCGGAGCTCCTGGTGCGGCTTCTGCCCTGGTGTGAGAGAGCAGAGAGGGATTTTCCATTTATGAAATCAAGCATTATGCCACTGCGCTTCTTAGTGAAAAAAAAAAAAAAGAAACAACCCTGCAGCTTGGTCATAAAATAAAGAGGGATTTCATCGCTTTGACATCTTTCCAGGCTCAGCAGAAGAGCCTCCTTTTGGGAAGGAAAATAAAAATCCCTCTCCCCAGCACCAAAGCGCACCCGGGGTCCTGTTGGTGATGATGCCAGCGCATGGAGACCGGTGGTGTGGGGCAAGACGGGGCCCTGCGAGCGGTGGGAGCAGAGAAAACCCCAACGCCCTGCACCCTGCTCGCAGGGAAGCTGCTCCCGGAGCACCAACGGAGCAGGGCGCAGCCGACACGGGCACGTGCGGGCACCCACGGGTGCTGCCTGGCCGATGGGGACCTGGCTCCTCTGGCTTCTCTTTGAAGCAGCAGGGTTTGGCCGCCGCGCTCTCCCTCGTGTTTGTGACTCGTTTAAATTTCCATCCGAGGCTTTTTAGCTGCTCCGCAGTGGCAGCGCTAGCGTTTCTGCTCAGGAATGCGGACCTGTTTGGCTGGATGCTGGACGGACAGATGGAAAGCTGTGCCTCGGAGTGCTCCGAGCCCACATTTAGAAATACTGCAAGAAGTGGCTGTCACTCCTAAAGAATGCAGCAGAGGAGGGAGACCAAGGCCGAGCTCCTTAGATCCACTCGCTATGGCAGGTTTTGAAGCCAGGTCTCGCCGTGGGGCTGCCAGAGGGACGGGGTCTGGTGTGGGCTCAGGGCTGGTGGGACCGATGCTGCTTCTCCTCCGCTTCGGCATGGGGCAGAACCCAGCTGTAAGAAATGTCGCGTGAAGCCAGATGTGGCAGGGAAAAAAAAAAAAAAAAACAACAAAAAACAAAACCTCCCCAAAGAACGATACTTGCAGCAGATTAGATAAACATCATTTCCTGCGATGAGAAAGGTAATAAATGAGGTCATCCTATAAAACACCTGGGGCTGCGAAGACTTGTCTTTTATAAGGCTGTCCACAAAACGTGGGTGGAGGCGCTTGGACGGCAGTCAGACGTACGGTGCTGAGCTCGGGCTTCTCCCGCCGAGCTGGCAGAGCTCCCCTGCTCGCCGCAGCTTTATCTGCTGGGGGAGTTGTCCTGAGTGGGAAAAGGGGCTCACCCGGGACAAGCCGGGGCTTGAGGGAGGCTTCGCTGCCTTCCTCAGCTCCGCTCGCAAAGGCTTTAAAGTTTCGGCAAGCCCTCGCGCAGCCGGCGCGCTGCGGTGCTCATCAAAACGCCGCCGCACCCCCAGACGCGGGCTCTGCTCCCTCGCGCACACATGCGCGCGCTGCAGGAGCCCCGGCTAATCAAACAGAGAAACTTGAAAGAAAGTTTTCACTCTGAACTGCGGCCAGATCACCGTTCCTCCATTAAAATTATATTTTTAATGTCCTATAATTGCACCAGGATAAAACCAGGTGTGTGTTCATGCGAGATAACACGCTCGGGTACCGGTGGAGGCGCTGGGCTTTGTCTCAACCTTCCCGGTGCC